ATCTAGCCTTATCATAAATTTTAGTGTTTTAATTGGGCTTTTGGCGTATATATTTATAATTATAATGCCAATAATTTTAGATTACAAATAAATGTCGAAATGACACGTGCAAAGCAGAATGTAAAGGCTTATATTATGTCTTATGTCATTAACTATGAAACTGACATTTCTATGTTTAAATATTTGACATAATCAGAATGGTCATAATTTAACGAAATTACGATTAAATTAGTGTCTGGGCCCATGCCCATGCCATACACAGTAAGAGACTACTATTATAGCCAGGGTCTATTCTATATTCTAGACTAGAGACCCTATAGTTAGTAAAATACCGACTCAGGTCAGGCTGTCCATAGTTAGGCTATCAATTTTTTTTTTAAATCGTAGTTCGTAGATGGTAATTTAAATCAATAAAAAAGTTAAAGGTAACAATTGTAATCAATTAAAATTTAAATTGAAACAGCTTAACGAGTCGACAGTTATAACTATTTTTCTGTAGCCGTGGGCCGTGGGTTAACTGACGACATTGCATCGTTACAATCATTCGAAGTTTGATTAGTCAATCAATGTCAATTGACTTCTTATTGACAATGCATTCCCTCACAGAATTAGTCTCGGCCTCTTTAAAATCCAACAGGTGTGAGTTGTCTTCATTGAGAACAATGAAAATTTTGAACCAAGTTGTTACAACTAGAAGCAATGTCAAATGTGCGGTTCATTTTATGTATACATTTTTTTGCCCCCCACAAATATATATTATGTCTTACCGAATCATGAAACAGAGCAAAGCAATTCCCCAACTAATTTGAGCTTTCCACTCGCTCTGTTGGCCATGTATCACACGCTCTGTATCTGTTTGAGAGAAGAGCGATTCAACACGTCCAAAGTCAATGGCATACTGGCGGTACCTGCCAATCACCCCCTTCCCCCAACACACACACACACACCCGGGTCCAGTCCTCCGTGGGGGTTGAATTTCGTGTGTTTCGGCACGTTTATTGTTGGCCACGCCCCCCCCCTTCCCCCCACCCCTCCCCCCACTTCCTTGGCCGTGTAGAGTCGAGTTTTGGTCACGGAGGAAGGTGTGAAATCAGCCGAGGAAGGCGTAGCTAGGGAAAATGTTTCCACACCAGATGCCTCTGAACATCAGACAATGAGATGAGACTGAGAGTTCGGGCCTAGTCAGCGCAAGATGCGCCTGGTTTCGAGGGAGGAATAGTTTTGTAGAGCTAGGTGGTGCCAAGAAAAAATTATCTAAACTAATTTTCCAGGTGGTCATGCATGCAGTTGTTTTTGTTTTTTTGTTGTTTTTTTGTTGTTGTTTTTTTTTATTGGGGGAAAACAGCTAAGCTCTAACACTAACAATACTATTTGACAATACGCAAATGTGAACCATATGTAAACATTATGCGCATTGTTCCACGCCAAAAAAAAAAAAAAAAAAATTAATGTTGTTTTTTTTTATTGGGGAAAAACAGCAAAACTCTAAAACAAACAATACTATTTGACAAAACGCAAATGTAAACCAAATGAAAACATTATGCGCATTGTTCCACGCCAAAAAAAAAAAAAAAAAAAATTAACAGTAATCTACTAGAATGCCCTGGCATATCCTGCTGGGATTACTAGTGGTTTTAACTTATGACGTGGAGCCGAATTATCCATAAGGCAATGACGTGTGCAACGTGATCTTTGGGCACAGGGTTCGAGAGGCTTTCGTTTATCCTTGTCTGCATGGCACGGACAGGGATGTTATATTATATATTGGCTGGTTGTGTCGAGGGCCCACAATGATTAAAATCCGGACCTGCCCACCTCCCCGTTTTATGAATTGAAACACGAAAATATACAGAGTTTCCACAGGTACGGGAGTGTTCACCACTTAAATTTATTTATTTTTACTTTAATAAACAACCATCCGAAGTGAATCCTGTTGTTAACAATTATTAAATTGAATTTTAGGCCTATTATTTTTCCATTGGTGTTTGCAGGATTTCTCGTGTGTGTATGTGAGAGAGACAGTTGTTTCATTGTGAATCGAATCATCTTGTAATATCAAACGATTTAAACAGATAAACTAAACAAGTGCGAAAAAAAGATGAGGATATTTGAATGTTTGGGAGACCTCCATCACTATAGTATCAATGACCTGAAGGGAAAGGGGCTCACGTATTTAATTTGTGAGAGTGTCTCAATTTCATTTTGTATCAAAATGGGCCGAAATTTATAACTATGATCATAACCAATTTTAGTTTACAACTACTGTGTGGGCTCTGCTTTTGATTTTAAATTTAGCTACGTCTTGTAGGGCTGTGTACATCGGCATCGGGCACTTCACATATACGATATCTTCCGTACGTTTTTGAGTCTTACCTGGCCTTTCGTGTCTTGTCATGCCTTTTGTGTCTTGACATGCCTTTTGTGTCTTGCTAGGCCTTTTGTGTCTAGCCAGGCCTTTTGTGTCTAGCCAGGCCTTTTGTGTCTAGCCAGGCCTTTTGTGTCTTGTCAGACCTTTTATGTCTTGCCATGCCTTTTGTGTCTTGCCATGAATTTTGTGTCTTGCTAGGCCTTTTGTGTCTAGGCAGGCCTTTTGTGTCTAGCCAGGCCTTTTGTGTATTGTCAGACCTTTTATGTCTTGCCATGCCTTTTGTGTCTTGCCATGCATTTGGTGTCTTGCTAGGCCTTTTGTGTCTTTCCATGCCTTTTGTGTCTTGCCTTGCCCTTTGTGTCTTGCTAGGCCTTTTGTGTCTTGCAATGCCTTTTGTGTCTTGCTAGGCCTTTTGTGTCTTGCCATGCCTTTTGTGTCTTGTCAGGCCTTTTGTGTCTTGTCAGACATTTTGTGTCTTGTCAGACCTTTTGTGTCTTGTCAGACCTTTTGTGTTTTTTCAGACCTTTTGTGTCTTGTCAGACCTTTTGTGTCCTGTCAGACCTTTTGTGTCTTGTCAGACCTTTTGTGTCTTGTCAGACCTTTTGTCTCTTGTCAGACCTTTTGTTATCTTGTCAGACCTTTTGTGTCTTGTCAGACCTTTTGTGTCCTGTCAGAACTTTTGTCTTTTGTCATACCTTTTGTGTCTTGTCAGACCTTTTGTCTCTTGTCATACCTTTTTTGTCTTGTCAGACCTTTTGTGTCTTGTCAGACCTTTTGTCTCTTGTCATACCTTTTGTGTCTTGTCAGACCTTTTGTGTCTTGTCAGACCTTTTGTCTCTTTTCATACCTTTTTTGTCTTGTCAGACCTTTTGTGTCTTGTCAGACCTTTTGTGTCTTGTCAGACCTTTTGTCTCTTGTCATACCTTTTTTGTCTTGTCAGACCTTTTGTGTCTTGTCAGACCTTTTGTCTCTTTTCATACCTTTTTTGTCTTGTCAGACCTTTTGTGTCTTGTCAGACCTTTTGTCTCTTGTCAGACCTTTTGTGTCTTGTCAGACCTTTTGTGTCTTGCCATATAGACAAATCCCAAGTGGTTTCTAGCGACAGAGACAAGTCGGGGAGAAATAGTGACATAACTCACGTAATGCTGGATCGACCCTCCACCCCCACCCCCACCCACTCCCGGGACCAAACCCACATACCCACCTTCTACTCCAGGGACCAAACTGACCTACCCACTTCTAGGACAAAATCCACCTACCCTAATTCCACTTCCAGGACCAAACCCACCTACCCTAATTCCACTTCCGGGACCAAACTACCTACCCACCTTCCACTTCCGGGACCAAACCACCTTCCACTTCCGGGACCAAACCCACCTACCCACCTTCCACTCCGGAACCAAACCCACCTACCCACTTTCCACTCCAGGGACCAAACCCACCGACTCACCTTCCACTTGCGGGACTAAACCACGAACCTAGTTATGAAATCTATCAAGAAGAATGTTGTTTAGTTCCAACACACGCCTCTATCATAAGCCAAGTATCGTAACACAAGGTTTTCTCTGAAATTGTCGTGTCTTTTATCCATTTCACGAACCTTTGTTTACTGCTGTGACTTGGATCTATTTTCACATAATTTTTCTCCCTTGCTGTGACTTGGGTCTATTTTCACAGAATCGTTCTCCCTTGCTGTTGCTTCTATTTTCATAGAATCTTCCTCCTTTGCTGTGACTTTTGTCTATTTTCACAGAATCTTTCTCCCTTTCTGCGACTTTGGTCTATTTTCACAGAATCGTTTTCCCTTGCTGATACTGTTAACATAACCAATGTCCATTACTGTGACTTTTGTCTATGCTCACAGAACCTATATCCCTCACAGTGACTTTAAACCTATTTTCCTAGTGCCTTTGCCCAATACCAAACCATTTGTTCTTGGTCAGAACCTATGTTCCCTGCAGTCTTTAGCCAGACATTTTGTCCTTTCTAGTCCCTTGCAGAACTTGTGTTCATTGATAGAAATAGTAGAGCAAGGTAAGTGGAAGCTTGAGTCAAAAGACAGGACAGTAAGATGTGAACGTTTCGGCTTATAGAGAGAGCCTTCTTCGGGAAACAGGACAAGTGAAAATACGACAGTAAAAAAAAACTAAGAGATTTACTTACTTGTTGCGGCAAGTAGCATCTTTATTATCTTTCAATGATCTTACTGCTCGGCCCTTGGTCCATATCCAGGCTAATTACTGCTCGGCCTTTGGTGTATATCCAGGCTTATTACTGCTCTACCCTTGGTCTATATCCAGGCTAATTACTGCTGGGCCCTTGGTCCATAGGCATATTTCTACTGCTCGGCCATTGTTTAATTTTTAGTTTGTCCATTGCCAGGTTTTCTGACCACTGCAAGATCTGATTTTTACCCCCCCCCCCTCTCTCTTTTCTCCTTAAAACCGTTTTGAGTGGGTCCTGGTCATGGTATGCAAAATGTGGGGCAGATAGAAAGGTCACATAATTATTTTTTTTTAAATTGACCAGACGAATTGGAAAATAACTTGGACCTTCAAAGGCACTGGACTATAAATAACTTCCATCACATACAAGTCCGTAGCAAATTAAAAATAAGACAAGAAATTCCTTTCGTTATGGTATATAATATATATTGTCAATATTCTCAGTTAGATATTCCAGTTTCATATAACATTATTCAAAAAGACATAGATGTTAACATTGTGAAATGAGAAAGACATGGATTGAACAAAACTTAACTTCAGCCAAATCTGTAAATCAATTAAATTCATGTTTTTGTTCAGTCTTACTTCAGTCAAATCAATTAAATCCATTTTTTTTTTTTCATTCTCCCTTCGGACAAACTTTTATTGCATACTTAACAGGTTCAGCACTTGAGTTAAATTCTTTCATCAATAAAGGTAGGGCAGTCAGCATTTTTGGTTTCTTGAAACAGAAGAGTTGATGAAAGGGCATCAACAAGACTCTCACCACCACCAACAATGGCAACCAACATTAAGTTTAGGCTTTACAAACAAAAATGGATTTTTTTTATTTTTAAGCAGTAATCATATGCCAAAGGACACATGCCCTAATGGCCACTGGATCTAAAAGATGATGAAGGAGTGAGCAACATACAGAACAGTAGGAGATGACATACTAATCAGGAGATGACATGCAGATCAGTAGGATATGACATGGGGCTTATAGGTCAACAGATTATTTATATAAGACAGTTCACTCCTTTCATTTCCTGTGTGCCCCCCTCCCTCGGATCAGCGCCAGCTAGGTATAAATTATCTCTCTATATAAAATTCATATACAAATAATACAAAGTATTATAACAATTTGATTGACAGTAAATAAGAAAATGTGTCAGTTTACAATTTGACATAAATTAGTAAAAATCAGGCAAGTGCAAATCAATGCTTTAACTTGCTTAATGCATCAGCAGATTTTTCAAAAATACATTTTTTTTCCAATATATTAAGATGGCCTTGCCCATGTCCTGTAAAAATATGTTTAAAAATTGAATTAGTGGAAAGTATATTTTCTATCACATGATTTAAACAAATATTTAAAAGTTTGTCTTAAAGTTATTAGTGACCCTATAAAATTTTGAAAACTTGTTACAGTGATGAAATGTACAAGAGCTAAGCATGACATGTGCATGTTGACATTGCTCTCCATATATTGTACATGTACACATTCATGCTGACATTGCCTTCCGTGTATTGTACATGTACACATTCATGTTGACATTGCCTTCCATGTATTGTACATGTAAACATTCATGTTGACATTGCCTTCCATGTACACATTCATGTTGACATTGCCTTCCATGTATTGTACATGTACACATTCATGCTGACATTGCCTTCCATGTATTGTACATGTAAACATTCATGTTTACATTGCCTTCCATGTATTGTACATGTAAACATTCATGTTGACATTGCCTTCCATGTATTGTACATGTAAACATTCATGTTGACATTGCCTTCCATGTATTGTACATGTAAACATTCATGCTGACATTGCCTTCCATGTATTGTAGTAAGCATTCATGTATTGCACATGTAAAAGTTAACCTGTAGCTGGGCAATGAGTTACAAACTGGTCCACATATTTTAAAAAAATGCTAACTTTATGTAACTGCTGCAATGTGATGCATTGTTTACTTAAAAGAATATTGATGAAATTGTTATGATTTTAAAGACTCTTTAATTTGACCCCAAAAATTGTTGGTTTTTAACAAGCAAGTTAAAAGAGAAAAAATAATTTTCATTAATGATTGAGGCAATGATAATTCTTTGAGATGAGAATGTTAACAGTCAAGTAATAAGTTTTAACTGACAGGCTGGTCTCAGGAGTAACACGAAAAGCTGCTCCACATTTTTAATTAATTATATTTCTTGGTGTGGGGTTTTAAATTATTTAATAAAGATGAAATTTAAAAGAAGTAACGAAGCCATTTAATTAACTTCAAGTACAGGTGAACATTCACCTTAAACGATCAAGGTTGAGAAACAACGATCCCTGACTGTCATTGTATTATGCATAGTTGTTGAGTTAAACAGTGGTACCGGCAGCTGTTGATTTACAACAGTCAATAATACTAACAAATGCTACAACAAACATCACAATTGTACGATTTTTGTAGGAGAAGTGAACATTGTATACCAGTGCATTCTATAAAAAACAAAAAACAGCCTGTCTAGTACTTCCCCTGGTGGTGTTGGGGATCAAAAACAGCCTGTCTAGTACTTCCCCTGGTGGTGTTGGGGATCAAATTATCAAACAGCCTGTCTAGTACTTCCCCTGGTGGTGTTGAGGATCAAATCATCAAACAGCCTGTCTAGTACTTCCCCTGGTGGTGCTGTGGATTAAATCATCAAACAGCCTGTCTAGTACTTCCCCTGGTGGTGTTGAGGATCAAACCATGATACAGCCTGTCTAGTACTTCACTTGGTGGTGTTGGGGATCAAAGCACGTCCACAAATATCGAAAGAACTAAAGTGCATCTCACTAACACATTTATCCATCAGTGCATATGACCAAACACATTGCTATTGCATTGTTGCAGTCTCTGTTCAGGTTCATCATTATAAAATATTGAGTCCTAATTTTTCCTGAACCGAAATGTTCAGTGTGATAAATCCAACAGGACTTAGTCCTTACACTATACAACTAAAATTTATTTTCATTAATATTTTCAAAGGGAGAGCACACATTTTAATTGATCAGAAACAGTTGCAATTCATGGACAGCTTTTCATGATATCCAAGGAGTCAAAATTCATCCGCATTATCTAACATTTTAGCCTTGACCTTGAGGAGGAACTATGCTGACGACAATAACACTAAAAGGCGCTCCTTGGTGTCATGATAAATGACAGATTAAAAGTGCAGCAAAGTTTGACGATTCTGTGGGAATGTTATGTACGGTACAAAAACAAAGTTGCTATGTAACACTTAGAAATGTTTCGACACCACGTGTCCTTGAAACTGGAAGAACATATGTAACGCTTGGCTAATCAATTTGATGTGATAGTAATGCAATCAATTTTATAACAAATACAATTTCAAATGTTCAATCTTAGCTGCATTTGACCACATCCAGGTGGTGGCAACACACTAAAATAATATCCCAAATCTCAACTCTGAGTGGAAGCACCAGGTGGGTTAACTTGAAGGACTTTCTCCGAAGAGCTGTAAAAATAACTGACTGGCCAACAAATAAACAAAGAATTATTATAGCCACCTTTGACATTCATAAATTTTAATTATAGTCAATTGTCCAGAATAAAGACTTCTTTAACGAAAACAAACCATGTGGGTAAATATTGACAAATCTTCCTTTGACCTGTCTTTTAATGGTTAGGATGGAACAGATCAATAGACTTGGATTATGGATTGATTAGAATTGAAGGTATGTTTAACTGGGGTTATGACCTATGTTTAACTGGGGTTATGACGTATGTTTAACTGGGGTTATGACATATGTTTAACTGGAGTTATGACATGTTTAACTGGGGTTATGACGTATGTTTAACTGGGGTTATGACGTATGTTTAACTGGGGTTATGACGTATGTTTAACTGGGGTTATGTCATAAAACTGCATGTTATCATTAAAAGAAAATGAACTGCAATGTCTTTTTGAACAAAAGTTTAGGCTACCGGTAAGTAGACCGCCCTCCATGACACCCAGAATGCCACACAAATAATACAAGTAATGCAGCTGTTAAATATAGTCTCAATTCTTTGACAATATTTTACACAAATTTTTGAGTTATGAAGAATTTTTGAATAACATCATAAACAGACATATTATTATCAGTACCAGTACATAAACTTTAAAATAAAAGCATCAATAAAATAAACAATTTTCTTTTATGGGACTCCATCCCAACACCTTTTCGGGGAAACTAATTTAGTGTTTCAAAACCAGCCTGTTCTAATGAAACACATTATGTGCAGGAATAATTACAACAGAAAGTTAATTAAATACTATGGCAATCCTCATGGAAAAAATGTACGTGAGCTATCCCTCAACAGATGCTAACAAGTCTGCTCAACGCAACTGACCATCAAAATTTGTTGACCTTAAATGATTAATGGGTGCATTTAAATAGCAGAATTAGCAGAATTAAAAGACTGTAAAAAAATGTAAGTACAAAAAGCTTTGGCACTTGTACAGCTTAGTGTTGCATGTATTTGATTCTATAGTCGCCAATATCACAGTGTTGTTCATTAAATAAAGACAGTTTCATTTTTCTTTAACACATGAACATATACCAAAATAAAAATGTATCTAATATGACCAATTTAAACATGAATATTAAATTTTATAAACTTGTTTCTCTATCTTTATGAAACTCATAATTTTTTAAATATTTTTTTTTTAGTTTGGAACATATGCACAATTTTTTTTGGTACCATTTAAATACTTAATGAATAAACACAATGGTTCCACTCCAAGCCTTGAAATATGTCCCATAAATGAATACGTGCAACTGTTCGTCAGGAAGTGTCAAAGATTCAATACATTAATTCTGGGAGTCTTTCTCTTAGAATGACAAGCTGAAAAACAAAAGCAGACGTTATGAGTAAAAACCTTTACAAAATTTAATTAAATGGTCCAGCACTTATTAAAATAACAAAATAAGCCAAATAAAAGCATGGTGCAGCACTTATTAAAATAAATAAATAAGCCAAATAAAAGCATGGTGCAGCACTTATTAAAATAAATAAATAAGCCAAATAAAAGCAATCTAAATGAAAATTGTTACAAGTAGCAAGTTTAAAAAAAAAAAATTTTAAGAAATGAATACTCGATTCCTCACCTCTCGTTCTGCAATGGTTTTCATTTCGCACAAAATTTTGACCTCTGTCCAACGCTGTATCAATCTCTTCTCCTCAATCTGGTGTACGAGGGATGCCAACTCTGATTCAACACATGCTCTGTATTCTACACATTTACAGAATAATGACTTGAAAACAAATGATTTAACCCATTGGTCCTATATTCTGTATTTAGCTATAAACTATAAAACTCTTTCTAAACACCGGCATCAAAACAAAATAAGTTTTTCTTTTCCTGTTAAAGGATTTTTGTTCATTCTGGATGAAGTATAAATCAATATTAAAATAAAATAATTTTTGAGGCAAAAATTTAATTCCTAGCACCGGCAATTGGAAGTTGAATCTTACAAGATAAAGTCAGGTAACAAAATATGGGGATATAGTGTCTCACCTTCCCATAAATGTAGTGTGCCGTTACTCAACCTCTGTTTCAGCTGATCAAACTTATCACGCAGTGAACTTGCCTCACTTAGACTTGCCGGTGTTCCCTACCAAATACAACAAACCAAAAGGATTTATTCAACAAATGAATGTGCTTGGATAGAGGCTGTGGAGTTGATTTCATACTTTTCAAATTCAAACTTGAAAACTTGTAATCAGGTCTTGTTTAGTAAGGTTTTGTTGGTTTTAAAGGATGTATAAGGAAGGCCTAAAGTTTAAGTGATGTGAAGGAAGGCCTAAAGTTTAAGTGATGTGAAGGAAGGCCTAAAGTTTAAGTGATGTGAAGGAAGGCCTAAAGTTTAAGTGATGTGAAGGAAGGCCTAAAGTTTAAGTAATGTGAAGGAAGGCCTAAAGTTTAAGTAATGTGAAGGAAGGCCTAAAGTTTAAGTAATGTGAAGGAAGGCCTATAGTTTAAGTAATGTGAAGGAAGGTCTAAAGTTTAAGTGATGTGAAGGAAGGCCTAAAGTTTAAGTGATGTGAAGGAAGGCCTAAAGTTTAAGTAATGTGAAGGAAGGCCTAAAGTTTAAGTGATGTGAAGGAAGGCCTAAAGTTTAAGTGATGTGAAGGAAGGCCTAAAGTTTAAGTAATGTGAAGGAAGGCCTAAAGTTTATAGGAAATTTAATGGACTCCAAAAAAATTAAGACACGAGATTGAGCCACATTATGAGAAAAATTTGATGATATTCTTTAAGCTTTACATATATTTAAAGAAGTTAATCTGAAAGTCAGTGAAAGTAATTCTGGTTATAAAATCTTACCTTCGCTTCCTCTATGAGAAAATGGTACTTTAAGTTTTCCAGGCAAGTGAAAGCAATGCTGGAACAATTACAGGATAGATTAGAAGTTACAATACACTAAGTGGTGTCAGAATTGTTTATAAATCTAGTTTAAATCTTACTGAAAAACTGTACTGCATATTTACCCTGATAGAATTTGTTTACGTAATTCACAGCTGATTTATATAAAGATCTCTTTTAAGCTTCACCAAATTATATAAATAGATGAACCATGGCAAACTATATTATTTTAAGCACTTACTCATTTTGTAAGCCATTTGTTGTAGCCAATCTATCATCTGATCTTTGGTTACCAGATAAATGCTCAGATCTGACCTGTTCTCTGGTGTCTTGTGTAACACTGACCGCAGGGAATTCTAACTTGGGAAAGCCACCCTGCCTAACATTCCCACTATGTGGCAAGCCACCATGCCTAACATTCCCACTATGTTTAGATTCAGTTCGTAGTGAAAATGTTAAGTCGACATCTTTGGGCCTGACAGATGTCACATGATTTTCTTGAATGTTTGAAATGATAGGAAGGTTTGGATTAGTATCCACAACTGTTGTTTGACTGGTGAGACGTCCAGCAACTTCACTGACAGTGCTTCTATCCGACAAGATCAAGTCATTCTCTGAGTCAAATTTGTCTCCAGATAACTTGACCCTTGGGTCTAAAATTTGTGTCCCTGTAATGACATTCTGCTGTACAGGTTTATCAGATCCCATCATTGGGTCAACATTAGACCGCAAAATAGGTATTGGTTGATCTGTCTCTGGTTGAAATGAACCAGAAGTCAAAGACGGCATTGTCATGGACTCCATCAAATCTTGGAACTCAGTGGAGTCATTCACAATGTCCGGTGCCAGATAATGGCCATTCAGCTCTGAGATGTCCATGTCTGCAACACCCAAATCTTCTAGACTGTTGATGCATTTCTCTTCAGGAACATTGGTACTAAGGCTCTCTTTGTTAGTTATACCTTTTTCCTGATATGCACTGTGATCGTGAGCCAATGGCGAGCCCCTACTTGGTGTATTTGTACTTTGAATAGTGCCAGCAGCTAAAACCTGTCCATGGGATTGGCTTGTGTCGGCATTTAACTGTACTGAAACTGGAAGACTTGACTGCCCACTTGTTAAATGAGCGGCTGAACTTGACCCGCCGGAAAAATGACTGGCTGATTTTTCCACTGGTAAACTAGATGGACCGTCCACACCCCTCAAAACTGTTTCTTCAATATCAACAGGATTATTTGATGGGACATCCATTGAGCTTGTCTCAGCAGCACCTGACTGGAACTGCTGCTGGGGGACATCCTGGACAACATCTGTACCAGGGAGATCAGTTGAAGGTGCATCTGATTTAAGAAGACCATGCAGAGATTTACTTTCACTGCTAAATGCAGAACTATTGAGTTTTACATCAGCACAAGTCTTGCCATTTAAGAGCGGACGTTCCGGTACATTCTGACATGGCAGGAAACCAACACTGTCCAGAGTTTTACGAATGTAAATATCGGTGGACTTTGGCGAGGGTGCCAGGGGCTTAAAGGTCTCCTGTTCTTCTTTCTTGTTCCTTATTTCTTGTCCGTAGCTCCTCTCATCTTCAAGTGGAGTTTCTTGGGGTGATGTTTCTACTGTTGTGTTTACAGGACTAGACGAAGGACCAATTGTACCATTCTTCTCTTCACCAAGTTCATCCTCGGCGGGTTGGTGGCTGGACTCAAATCCATTGTAATGAATGCCAGAATCTCCGCTGAAATGAGGGGTGGTCAAGTTTGGTGCCACAAGTGTACCTTCAGTTCTTGCAGAGTTTAGCACCTTGGGCAATAACATAGGTGGCGGTGACTGAGATGTGTTCAAATTGACATTACCCGTCCTTTGATTGAGGTTATCTAATTTGGGTTCATCTCCCTTTTCAAGATAATGGGATAGTTTTTTTGCCAGCTTATCTTCGGGGGTCTCAACAGCAGGTTTTATAGTGACAGGTGACAGGTGTGCCGTAGCCCCTGTCGGCTGGTGTGCTGTGGTCCCTGATATGCTATCATTGGGAGTTACTGTCTGTGAAATAAAAATTAAGATTTCTAAAAACAATGAAAGGAGGAACATTTATAAACGCATCCAAGTAGATTAAATTACATTTTTTTTTTTAAAAGAAAGACATTTTCAGTTATTTCGCAAGACAAAATTCAGACAATATAATCATCATACTGACAAAAACAGTTAAAAAATGTTAAAACAGAATAATGTTAAAAGTAAGTAGCCAATGTTAAACTGTTACAACAGATAATGCTAGCAGTAAGTAGCCAATGACAGTATACACACTTGTTGCTGGGATGCCAGGTCAAAGGCTGGAGGCAATTCTATGTTAACTAATTCTCCTTTCTCTACAGCTTCTTTCAGAGACAACAGGCTCTACAATAAAATAGAAAAATAGCATGTCAATATGTACCTGGCACTCTTAGCTTCTTAGTATCTACTGCACACTCGTACATTCAAAGAATCATATTTTAGCTGTAAGGTCTCTATTATATGAGATATGTTGACAAAGATTAAATGGTCAGAAAAGAAAACAATAAATGCCAAAATTTAATCATCTGGAAGCTCCTGACATCAATCAATATTTCTATACACAAACATAACTCATTCCTATAACACCAGTGTGCTGACACAGTGACCTAGTACACCAGTGTGCTGACACAGTGACCTATTACACCAGTGTGCTGACACAGTGACCTATTACACCAGTGTGCTGACACAGTGACCTAGTCCACCAGTGTGCTGACACAGTGACCTATTACGCCAGTGTGCTGACAGTGACCTATAACACCAGTGTGCTGACACAGTGAACTATTACACCAGTGTGCTGACAGTGACCTATAACACCAGTCTGGTCACCTAATGGTAGGCTGTAAATAGTGAGCAGCTGCCATTTTTACATGTGAAAACTTTTTTATTTAAAAATTATTTTAACATCTTTCAAGATGGACTTAACTAGACTGATGGTCTTAACTAGACTGATGGTCTTAACTAGACTGATGGTCTTAACTAGACTGATGGTCTTAACTAGACAGATGGCCTTAACTAGACTATTGGTCTTTATTATCCTCATGACAGCATAGCCACATGGACAAACCTTTAGATGCTGCTTTGCTTTATTTGCAAAATCTTCTCTTTCACAATTCAGGACAACATTCTCACACTCTGCAATCCTGGTTTCTATGGCAAACAAACTCTCTGCAGTCTTCTGGATGTCCTGCTGCTTCTCTTCCACTTTAAAGTAAATAAAACAATAAAACAAATAGCAGTATTTCAAAAAGTAAATCTCTGACTATAACATACATAATAATAACAAGATGCTTTCTCTGGCGACTCTGGTAATGAAACTATTCCATCGAAGAATCTTTGCTGTGAGTTCAAACAAACAGCCTTAACCCTAAAACGGCATAACAGCCTATCACCTGCAGTTATGCCCCTTTCTGTGGTGTCACGGCTGATATAATCCACTGCTAGCTCAATCCTCGTTTAAAATGCGGATGATTTAAAGAATGTTGGTTAAGGGGAGATCATTCTAAATAAATGAGTTTGCTTCCTATTTTTGTTTCTAGCTGTGTGTAAACTTGCTTGAATACAGGCTTGTTCAGTGATTAACCGGGTCGGAAATTTGCTCAATTTTGTTGACTGCTGTTATGTCTGATGCAGGAGAGGGCGCTCCTCTAGATTGCAAACTCTAAAGACTTTCTTTATTGGAATAATTTCAAATGGATTAAAATGAAAGCAATGATTTCAGAGATGTTCCATGTGCTAGTAATGACGCTATTAGCTCTAGCGGTGACAGCGTCACAAGAGTCAGATAATAACGATTTTAGCCCTAAGCTTAGTTATATTGTTACAGACATAATTGTTTGGGAAATTGTGGAGATTGAATAGAAAAGACACAAGATTGTATCACAAATACATACCCTAAACAGATTCAAAGACATGTATGTTTGTGCATTGTTTGTGTATGTTCTGGAGCCTTAATGAATAAAAATGGATTGAGTGACTTCATTTGAAAAGGAATTTTTGAACTCAGGATTTATCCCGTTCTATTTTGTATGACAGAAATTTTTAGGTAGTAAATGAAAGAAATTTACCAAAATTACAATTTTCAATTTTGAAGTGCCTGGAAGTTAACATTTTCTGAAAGAATATTGCTTTTAGTATTTGAAAAAGTTGATTTTACGACACTGATAATCAATTATAGAGTATTAGATTGGGTTGATGCAAAAGTTGAGTAGTAAAATTTTACTTACTCTGTATAGGTCAACATCAGCATACATAATATAAAAACAAATAATTTTCATACTGCAAGATACCTTCTCCAATGTACTTTCAGAATATGTATACTTGTAAGGAATCGGAACTTATTTAGTATAGGACTTTCTCATTTTCGAAAATGCTAACATTGGCTGAACACTACAGAAAAATGCACTTGTAAGTTACAGGGTTAAATGTAGATAGTAGAGCATCAAGAGTTAAGACTCACTTGACTTTTGCTCCAACGCCTCAGTTTGTTTAGTCAGCACTTTGAGCAAAGCTTCGTCGGGTTGCCAGGCAGCGCCAGATGTGGAAAGTTGACTCTCAATCCCAACAAGTTTCTGGGTTGTACAAAAATGCAATTTTAAATTTGAAAATAAAAAAGATCCTCTTAAAGTAAATGTCAATTCCTTATGGAGGAAACAACTGCTTAACTCATTCCCTCCTGCAATGCTACTTCCTTATTTAATTTATTTGCCTGAGAAAGGGAAGTAACCCTGTTTTGAAATTGTTTACATTTTTTAAATATGTATTTAAGCTACTAAATATTATTTAATGTTAACGAATTAAGAACAAATGCAACAAAAAATGAATAAGGTTTAATATAAATATAACATTAGCGGGGGAAAAATAACGAACAATGACCAAAACATGGATTTTCGGCACCTCGGACGAACACATGCTACATATAGACGCGCCGTATTAAAGCACACATAGTTTTAAAGTGAAACAAGATAAAAACTTCCGCTTTTTAAATTAAAATCACGCTGAACCACGCCATCGCGGGAAGTCTCGAGGGATGCGAGATTTCATTGCTATTTTTAAATAGATATGAGAGAGGTGTGTCGCTATGCGCCGGGATGCATTTGGACGCATCCGGCAAAACCCGTAAAAGACGCATTTAGTCGCAAACGTCGGGAATGAGTTAAGTACTTTAATTCTTTTGTATTTATTATCATAGCATTTAATTTCTGTTTTGACAACTGGATGCTGAGACTTTGGCTTAAGCGCCAATACAGCACAAGCCAATAAGCTGTCTGCACAAGCCAATAAACTGTCAGCACAAGCCAATAAACTGTCAGCACAAGCCAATAAACTGTCAGCACAAGCCAATAAACTGCCTGCACAAGCCAATAAACTGTCAGCACAAGCCAATCAACTGTCAGCACAAGCCAATAAACTGTCAGCACAAGCCAATAAACTGTCAGCACAAGCCAATAAACTGTCAGCACAAGCCAATAAGCTGTCAGCACAAGCCAATAAGCTGTCAGCACAAGCCAATCAACTGTCTGCACAAGCCAATAAACTGTCTGCACTCTAAGTGGTTAATCCCACACACAAGATTTAAAAAAAAAAAAATTATGCTATAAAAAGAGTTAAGTCAACTCATTAAACTCCCTTGATTTTAAAACACTAAGTTGTCTTTGCTACAATATTCTATTCAACCACTAAGTTGTCTTTGCTACAATATTCTATTCAACCACTAAGTTGTCTTTGCTACAATATTCTATTCAACCACTAAGTTGTCTTTGCTACAATATTCTGTTCAACCCATCATGGTTGGCAACAACCTCATTTCAACCATGCCAGTTCTTCACATGCGAGAGTCTTCCGTTTCAATTTAAAAAACTTAAACTTAAAATTGTATTAGATAAAACTAACCGAGTGATGTCCCCTGGCCTTTGTTTCCATCTCTGGACTTCTGAAACTTAGTTTGGCTGTCCTCAATACTAAAGACCGAATCAGTAGTGTAAACTTGGCTTTGTTCATCTTTGACTGGGACGACTTAGCTGATTGGAGGAGAAGAAGACAAAAAATAATTGATATAGTAGATTGTAGAAGACATAAAATATTTGATATAATAGATTGTAGGAGGCACACATTATTTGATATAATAAATTGTAAAAGACATACAATATTTGATAAAACAGATTGTAGAAGACATACAATATTTGATATAAAAGATTGTAGAAGACATATGATATTTGATATAATAGATTGCAAAAGACAATATTTGATAAAACAGATTTTAGAAGACATACAATATTTAATATAATAGATTGTAGAAGAAATATAATTTTTGATATAGTAGAGTGTAGAAGACATACAATACTTAATATAATAGATTGTAGAAGAAGTATAATATTTGATATAACAGATTGTAGAAGACATACAATATTTGATATATATGTTTATAGAAGACATAAAATACTTAATATAACTAATGTGAGAAAAGATACAATTTTTCGATTGACTGTATATATTTGTTCAAAAGACTCTGCCCCACCCCCCCCCACCAATCTCATAAGCACAACCCATAAAATAATATGTTAGTTTAAGCTATCTGCTACTAAAGACTATGAAAAGATACAATTTTTCGATTGACTGTATATAATTGTTCAAAAGACTCTTCCCCCCCCCCCCACCAATCTCATAAGCACAACCCATAAAATAATATGTTAGTTTAAGCTATCTGCTACTAAAGACTAAAATGTCTTTTTTCTAAAAACCTGATTTTTAAAAATAGTTTTTGACTGTCGCTGGCAGAGAAGAAATACTTTGTTTTGGCAAACTCAGTGGATATTCTGCTATAGGCTTATGTATCAATTAAATTTTTGTGCCTGCATTCAGATCCCGTTATTGCAGTCTGGCAACTTGCTATTCAACATAGGTCAGGTGCTGGTACCAAAACATGTCACAATGAGCGTTGCTCTGACCGCTCTAAAAACTAGAATTCAACTGCTGCCATCATCTTACAAAATTTGATCATCTGACCTTGTTGTGCGGAACAGATGGAAATGCATTGTAAGAACCCAAATTTGTGAGCCAATTTTTGCACACAGCTTCACCGTGACTTCAGTTAAAGACTTTTTTTGTCACTGTTGTTTATGATAGAGTCAATGTCCCTCAAGAAAATGATAAGAGTCTGCCGTGACCTGCTAATATTCTGATGACCCCATTCATGCCCTGAATGAGTCTGTCGTGACATGCTAATATTCTGACGACCCCACTTATGCCCTGAAATATTTCCACAAAAATTCTCATTGAGAAACTCAGTCATTAAACAAAATAATTTTTTTTTTAAATTTCTTGTAAAAAGATGTTGAATTTCACTTCTAATTAATTGATTGGTAATATTTAATTGTTTGGTAATAGTTAATTGTTTGGTAATAGTTAAAAGTTTGGTAATAGTTAATTGTTTGGTAATAGTTAAAAGTTTGGTAATAGTTAATTGTTTGGTAATAGTTAATTGTTTGGTAATCGTTAATTGTTTGGTAATAGTTAAAAGTTTGGTAATAGTTAGTTGTTTGGTAATAGTTAATTTTTTGGTAATGGTTAATGCTTGACCTCAGTTACCTGGACTCATTTTGTGATATTCAAAATCAGCTGGGATGTCTTTTTTCCATACCGGTCGATTTGCTTTTGCCCTCGTCATCAAAAACTCTAATGACTGTTGGTAATAATGGCATTCGATTATAAATACTTCTAGAGCTTGAACGATAAGAACAGAGTAGACTAACACATTAGAATAAAATACAAGTTTTAATTCAATTGGTGGTTGTACTGCAGTCTCATAAGGAAAATTACTGCGATATACCCTTATACTTACTGTGACATGCCCTTATACTTACGGTGACATGCCCTTATACTTGCGGTGACATGCCCTTATACTTAACCTTCTGCTCATTACAGACATACAAGAATGACCAGAGTCACTGACTCACTAAGTACAGTCCATGTTTTACAAAACACATAGATGTAAAGTTGACAATTTAAAAAACAACATAATAGTCTTTTTTGCCATATCTCAATTCCCATCACCATAAAATCCTATATCTCAATTCCCATCACCATAAAATCCTATATCTCAATTCCCATCACCATAAAATCCTATATCTTAATTCCCATCACCATAAAATCCTATATCTCAATTCCCATCACCATAAAATCCTATATCTCAATTCCCATCACCATAAAATCCTATATCTCAATTCCCATCACCATAAAATCCTATATCTCAATTCCCATCACCATAAAATCCCACATTTTTCTCAGCATATCATTCCTACTCAATATTACTTTAAGAGTTGTATAGAAGTTTTATAGTAAGACCTGTATAGAAATTTTGCTATATTTGCTGAATTTTTTTTAAGGTATTTTTTTTATCTAGGTTTGGATATATTTCTTTCCCTAATCTTGATGAATTGATTTTTCAAAAAAGAATTTTCTGAACACTGACTCGCAGGTCCATGTATCACGAATCAACGTACGTACATCACTAAACACTCACCCGCAAGGTGCTTTGAATCTTTGGAATGTGTCGCTTGTCACTTTCTTGTGATTGTTGGGCTGCCACTAAAGCCAACTTGTAGCTGGAGATTCTGTCGGTCAGTGTCTTCATGGCATCATTGTCAAATTCTGGTCAATGTACAAAGTTGTTCAGTGGTTTTTAATGTACATCTAATGGTCGTAAATTGTACTGTGCCAGTAATGGTCATAAAATGTACTGTACCAGCAATGGGCATAAAATGTACTGTACTAGCAATGGGCATAAAATGTACTGTACCAGCAATGGGCATAAAATGTACTGTACCAGCAATGGGCATAAAATATACTGTACTAGCAATGGGCATAAAATGTACTGTACTAGCAATGGGCATAAAATGTACTGTACCAGCAATGGGCATAAAATGTACTGTACTAGCAATGGGCATAAAATGTACTGTACTAGCAATGGGCATAAAATGTACTGTACTAGCAATGGTCATAAAATGTACTGTACCAGTAATGGGCATAAAATGTACTGAACCAGTAATGGTCATACATTGTACTGTACTAGCATTACTAGCAATGGGCATAAAATGTACTGTACTAGCAATGGGCATAAAATGTACTGTACCAGTAATGGACATACATTGTACTGTACTAGCAATGGTCATAAACTTCACTGTACCAGTAATGGTCATACATTGTATTGTACCAGCAATGGTCACAAAATGTACTTTACTAGCAATGGTCACAAAATGTACTGTACTAGCAATGGTCTTAAAATGTACAACACTAGTAATGGTCATAAATTATACTGTACCAGTAACGGTCACAAAATGTACTGCACTAGCAATGGTCACAAAATGTACTGCACTAGCAATGGTCATAAAATGACCAGTAATGGCAAAATATGTATCAAATCTAAAGCACTGTTTCCCAAACTTTTTTACCCCACGTCTCACCTGCGGAGCTGAAAAGGTTTGGTATCCACCCCCACCCACTCATGTCTAGCACTGCCCCCTTTCAAAAAGTTAATGCTTTACAGCCTGGGACAGAATGTCCCCTCTGAAACGTTAAATTGTTGGGAAACCCTGATGTCAAGAGAGCGAAAAGTCTAACATTACCATCATCAGAAGGTACCGGGACAGGAGGAGGCACTTCATCACCTCGGACAGGCATACCAGCCTGCACACGTTCTTGAAGATCTTTGACTATCTGATTATACAAATATAAATGCCAAATGTTAGACAGTGAGTAGAGTTTGCACGAAATAGGGGTAAACTAGGCTCAAAGTATTGTTGTCTTGGTAAGTAGCCAACCAATCCCCACTGTACAGTCAAGTAAAATTTTCCACCTCAAACAGGAAAATATGAACTTCTAGACCAGATCTTCGCAAATGGTGTGCTGTGGAACACTAGTGCGCTATGAGATAATGCCATGTGCGCCTCGTAAAATGCCCCCAAGACAAAAGTAGGAAAATCACAGAGTAAATGCAGGCACGTCGTCGGTAAGACAAAAAATAGCGTTTGCTACAAAAGGTGCATTGTTGAGCCTTTTATCAAACAGTTAAACTCTGAAATGTGTCCAATACATACAGTTCTTATATCTTTTAGTATTACATTTTTTCTACTCATTGAGTTATTTGGCATATTTTTGCATTTTTTAAATTGTGGTGTGTCTCAGAATTCCATTGTGGCGCGCATGAAAAAAAAAGGTTACTGGGATTCTGTTCTAGACCAAGATTCTGAAAAATAAAAACAAATGAAATGACAGAAACAATGAACTATGATTTACCTGAAGACATCTTTGAAGTTGCTGGATTTTATTAAACTTATTTTCAGAGAGTTCTTCTTCAGCAAAGTACAAAGCTTTATGATAGTTATCCAGCCGGGCAGATAACACAACATGAGGATTCGGAAGTACGTCTGCCAATTATAAAATTTAAAAAAATGACAATAAAACACTGACATCAATAAAACACTGACGTCAATAGAACACTGAAAAAATTTCTAAAGTGCAGTTGTGATTCAATGGATACATTTTTGCCAGCACACCATTTACTTCGCTTTGGACTGATATAAAAGAACGGCTAGAGACCAACCTTTCGGATGCAGAAATGTAAATGACTTACCTATTTGAGGTGCTATGACTAATGGTGGAGGTACGACATTCTCTGGAAAACTTTGGCCCCTACCAATTCTTTCCATGAGATCTACAAGTTGCTAAAATGACATAAAGGAAATAGTTACTGCCAGCATTTGCAAAATCATGAACATAAGAATCTTTAGCTATTATGAACATACCAATCTTTAGCTATTATGAACATAACAATCTTTAGCTATGAGCCGCAAATATTTTTATATCACATAAGGAATTTTTAACACAGACTGAAAAATCATATGTCTGCCTTTCAAAAAATCATATTCCTAACTTAAAGAATATAAAATAGATATTATTAATATGAAGAGGCTGTGAAAAAAATACAACTTCTTAACTTTTTATTCAATGAATACCTATGTGTGTGTCATGTTGTTGTTTGGAGACATATGATTAGCTGTATGTCACGTTGTATTTGGGAGACTTATGATTACCTGAATGTCACCCTGTAGTTGGGAGACTTATGATTAGCTGTATGTCACGTTGTATTTGGGAGACTTATGATTACGTGAATGTCACCCTGTAGTTGGGTGACTTATGATTACCTGAATGTCACCCTGTAGTTGGGAGACTTATGATTACCTGAATGTCACCCTGTAGTTGGGAGACTTGATTACCTGAATGTCACGCTGTAGTTGGGAGACCTGGTGTGAATCATTCCTGGCCGTGGCTTGATCTACCGCCGTTATGTACTGGTTGATCCTGTCTTCTAGCATTGCAGTTGTTACAGGCATGCTTTGGTGTCGCTAGATGGTCACAAAATTAGGAGTTCCACTGATATATTAACATAAACACCTGCTTTGCATTACTATCACATAAATCATGTCATTAAAAACTAAGAGAAATTAACCTTCCTTTTTTAACTAGATAGTAAATTAGTATTGCCTGGTCATTCTATCAATGTAGAGACAAAATCAAATATCAATAGCAGCCAGAAGCCATTAAAAAGACTCTTAGTAGCATTATACAAATTAATGACCATTGTGATTGAAGAAGTCGGATATCATTCATATTTACAGATAAAATCAGATTCTTTATTGATCCAAATAAATGGAAATGTTTTGTTTTTTTTAAATTATATTGTACATATTAATTTCAGCACATAAATAAAAACATATTTTAACCAAGACATTTTATAATTATAACAATTTAAACACAAGACATCTAAAGCATTTCTCTAGTGTAAAAAATCTGCCATCGATGAGCTCCTTGAGTGACAATAATGACTTATTTAGTGATCATTTAGATGTGGTAATAGCTGGGGGAGCATGCTGGTAAATTTGTACAGACTATGGAAAAAAATAATTTTTATATCTTTCTGTCCTAACTTTAATAGAAAGACTTTGTCCTGATCAAGCTGATCTTAGGCCTTGTTTAAGTTGCAGTTTTATTAACATTTATGAGTTGTTATTTTTTTAATGCATATTTAGGAACAAATGAACTTTTCTTAAAATTAAATTTTTAAAAAATATCAGAAACGGTGAAACCCTTATCATGACAAGAATAACTGTCCATCAAGCTAATTACCTGCTCTTGACCCCGAGGCCATGACATCATAGCTATCAGTCAAATATGAGCAATGTTCACAATTTCTTGGAAAGCAGTTTAACAAGGTCAGATTATTAGAATTCCCATACTTGATAGCACCAACTTCATATATTTTTGTGTCACTCAATTCCTGGTACCCGTTACTGGAAAACAGAAAAACAAGAAATGAAAATAAAAGATCCTAATCTAAATAATACAATTATTTATCACTCTTCAAGTTCCGGCCTGTACAGTAGAGAATCCTCTTTAGTTAAACTAGTCATCTAAGTATCATTCTCTTCATTATGTTGACTTGAATGAGTGACTCAGTGGGTCACTTCAAACATCCAAGTCTCACTTGCTTAGTTTACTCACTTGATCTGGACTTGTAAGCTGAATGTGTGAGTTTAGCTCAGTCGTGAGTCTTTTCTGACAACAGATAACTAAGATAAGTATAAGCATATAGGTTACCATTAATAGTATTACTATTATTCTCTCTCAGTGACATAGAACTACTGCTATTCAAAGTAATCAAAGACACTTATAATGTGACTTATTTAATTTATAAAAGTAACATATTTTCTTTATTCTCTATTGGGTGGGCTGGTATATTACTTTATGGGATCAATTTGTTACTTGTGAGCCATTTAATAAAATTTTCAGGCTTTTCCCAACCAAAACTATGAGCAGGGGCTTATGAAATATGAAAAACAGGCTTGAATATTAAAATTATATTATTGTACAACTAGTATTAGTACTAATAACTTGAGTTTGACCTGGCCTAGTCTACTTACAGTATAGTAGCTTACACTAGTTACACTTGCACTTGATTTACAGATCAAGAATGATCCAATCAGGGAATGACTCTAATTAACTCTTGGGTGGCAGAGTGGTTTAAACTGAGGCAATCTCAAGTTTGTGGACTGGAGTTCAAATTCCAGCAAAACCCTAGGCAAGAACCAGGTGGATGGGACTCATTAAACTTGGATGGCAACTCATCTAAGAAAAGGCAAACTCTGAAATTAAATCCAGAGTTGGGGGTTCTATACACTATATAGGCTATTATAGGTGCCATAGCATTTACACAATAAAACTCCTGGAATGCATAAGAGCACAGTGAAACATTGCTGATAATCCACTGCATCCTGGTCTATTTCTTGTCATGGCCATTTGAACAAATAAATAGGCAAGAGAGGGAGTGGGGCTAACATTCATTTGACATTTGAATTTGAGCAACTCTCCCTCACTTTAAAAACAAAATACAGTTAAGCACACAAGACAAGGCTACTACTACTCAAGTCGAAAACTTGGTCATATTCGAAGGACGAACATAATAATACTGCATTGTCCTGAAATAAAATAACATTCATTCAGTCATACTCATTCCTGAGACTCAACTCGAGTTGACACACTCACTGTCACTGTGACTTGTCACTGATCAGTGATTCTGAGCCTGAAATAGGAGATTTACAGACAGTACTCAGTACATACTAAAGTGTAACAGCCTGGCATTGGTTTTAAAAACATGAGAATATTTTACTCACATTGTTGCTTGTATAATCAATGTGATGTAACTCAGCGGGCGACTTTATAAGTGTAAATGTGTAAAATTTATACCAGAAGTATAAAATAAAGAAAGGCTAAGACTAAGGTTTAGGAGAGGGTGGGTTAGAGTTTACTTCGTTTCAGTATCATTGTTGTCAATTTAAGTTAGTCCTTTTTACTTCCGGGTTATGCTTTTGTGGGATGTATTTATAGTTTACGGTGGTTCCCAGAATCCAAATGGTGGCAACTAGCACACACAAGTTAAAAGTAAGTTAACCAGAGAACAATATTTTTAGTGTCTGCAAAACAGGCGCAAAATGAATTACTTAGGGAACGGGTGTGGCAAAAAGATTTAAGTCTTGAAAATGTTTTCATATTATTAAATTTGAACGGTTTTCTCTGGTTTTGCATTAAATTAAATCCGTTTCTGATTTTGTAGGCTTGTAAATTTGTAAATATAAAGATTGTGATATTTTTAACTTGGTAGAGAACTATTTTCCATAATTCATTTGCGAAAAACAGTAAATTATTACATTTTTTAGGCTACTTGTTAATTTATTTTTTAAAATTTTGTATATAAAAATCATTGGAACATGGGTCACAACAGTGGCGTGCAGAATTTTGCCGTGACCGGGGTAGGGGCGGGGGGGGGGGGGGCTGCAGCCTACAAATCCATTCTGTTAACATGGGTCACAACAGTGGCGTGCAGAATTTTGCCGTGACCGGGGTGGGGGCGGGGGGGGGGGGGAGCTGCAGACTACAAATCCATTCTGTTAACAGCAACGATTTTCATGAATTTGGTCTTCCAGGATTAGGTTCTATTTACTAGGACGTCTTTATTCCTTAAAGGTGGAAACGATGAGGCAGGCGTCCAGGTTTACTTAATTGAGCATCTTTGATGGAACATACCTACGTTTAAAGTCTGAAATGTTTTGTTTGTCGTTTCTCATAACATAAGCAGGTGACATGAAAATGGGGGAGCAGTGGGAGGACGATACCGACAGTTTTAGAGATTAATAAATCGTCGAATCTTTAATTAATATTTGGTACAAATAATGAGAGTTAAATTTTGAAGTTAACCTCTCTTATATCTCTTATATCCAATTATCTGGAACGCCCTTCCTGTCACTCTCAGAAACAGCCAGCCACTGCAGTCTTTCAAAATTAGGTTGAAAACACATCTTTTTCGCACTCACCTGCTGGGGTGATGTAGTCCACCTCCTTGTTTCCAACTTGCTCACATTCCTCGATGTAGATTTTTGTATTGTTGCGTTTTGTATTTCATTTTTGGAAAAATATAAATTGTCAGACATGGTTGTCTTTGCACCACGCTTCGAGCCTTAATTAGAGATAAAGAGTGTTTTGAAATGAACTTTATTATTATTATTATTATTATTATATATTTTGCTTGCGGTGTAACTGCTTCCATTTCCGGCTGCTTCCTATTCCCACCTCCACCCCCTTTACTAAGAATGTTTTATATTACATATTATTATCTATGTTTGAAAGAAAGTTTGATCCAATGGTGTGTTAAATAATGAGTTCAATAGTGCACAAAACATCATGCCCGATAACTACGCTAAATGATTTTTTTAAATAACGCAACTGCATTTGGTGCGTAATATTTTCTTTTTAAATATGGTGTAATAAATATTCGGTTTAAAGGTGTTTGGGACATCGGAATATTAATACAAGTTCATGTGCGTAAAATAATAACTGTGCAATGACGTATCCTGGGGTGGAAGAGTTTGTAGCAAAAATTGGGATTCTTAAATGTGAGTTACTTGAGTTCATGTTTTGTCAAGTAACTTTTGCAGATGGGAAGTTCACGCATTGGTGTCGCCAATGTTTAGCCAGCTATAACTAGTTATTTATAAAATTGGAGAGGTGGAACTTAAAAAAAAAAAGGATTAAACGTAAGACCTGACAACTGTATAGAGGGCCATCCATAAATGAGGTGACATAGAATTTGTGACACTTCGTGACAGGTGGGAGGGGGGTATAGCATGCATTTTTATGTGCATTCCAACCACTGAAGATAAAGATAACTTGATTTCATCTCACCACGCAGTGGTTACAAAGGCAGCCAATGAAATTTTATTCAAACCTGTTTTGTACCTCCATTACAATACCAAAATAAGTTGTAGGTAAAAAAAGTTCCTAATGAAGCCAAACAAAATTTTTGATCTTTCACCCACACCTTGCCTTAATAATAAATTCAGTAGTTCCTATGATGATGATACAGACTGGTAGTAACCCAACCAGTTGAGGACTACTGAGTGCAGTCCCTGATTTCTACTTGCAGCTGACATTATTTTACAACCACGAGGCACATTTTCCATTGCTGTGGTTTAATTCATGCACAGCTGGCGCCGGCTTACCGGTCGGATATTGGGCAATGTTGCAGCTTCCAACTCTCATCCCATATCGGTGAAGTCCTTGCCCTATAATCCTTAGGGTCAGTTGTCTCCCTTTAGGAAAAAAAATATTGTCTCCCATTAGGACCAGTTGTCTCCCCTTCATCACTCATTTTTCTGACGGTGCTGGAATTTCCTTAGTTGTAAGTTTTGCACCGTCTGTAGTCTCTAACCCCAGCAAAACTTGGGACAGGTTGCGGTGGGCTTTCAAATTATTGTTAATTGTGGAGTATGGGTTTTCACAAGTAACTGTTACGCACCGAATATTGTTTTATTGTGCGCGGTGCGTCTTGTGTGTTAGTTAAGTTAATGAACGCTTTTGGCACCTTAAGGACTGTGGAATAGGGTAACCATTTTTTAAAAATTGTAGCTTAGACGTAGTGTCTATAGTTTGTCTTTGGTGTACATGCTATTGACTAGTCCAGTGGTTCTCAACCTTTCTAATGCCGCGACCCTTTAATACAGTTCATGTTGTGGCGACCCCCAACCTCAAAATTATTTTCGTTGATATAATATAACTGTAGACTATATGTGATTTCAGATTGTCTTAGGCGAACCCTATGAAAGGGTTGTGCGACCCCATAGGGGTGGCGACCCACAGGTTGAGAACCGCTGGGTCTAGCCAGAGGGAGAACTTTGAGGATGAAGGTTGTACTATATTCTTCTAATTATAGTGAAGTGAGCTGCGTTATTCACATGCAACGAACAGCCTGATCACTATTATACGTTCATGGATTAACGTTAACATTGCTCTTGGAAAAGGGGACTTGTGTTCCGTCGAGTGTGATCACGAATATAAACATTAAGGAAACTGATGAAACAAACCAATAATTCACAGATGGCGACATATAATACCATGAGTGTAAAGATGGTATGGTGATGGGTTGGGAAAAGACGTCAAGATGGTAGGGTGATGTGTTGGGAATGGACGTCAAGGTGGTAGGGTGATGTGTTGGGAATGGACGTCAAGATGGTAGGGTGATGTGTGTGGGAATGGACATCAAGATGGTAGGGTGATGTGACGGGAATGGATGTCAAGATAGTAGGGTGATGTGTTGGGAATGGACGTCACGATGGTATGGTAAAGTGTTTGGAATGGATGTCAAGATGGTATGGTAAAGTGTTTGGAATGGACGTCAAGATGGTATGGTGAAGTGTTTGGAATGGACGTCAAGATGGTAGAGTGATGTGTTGGGAATGGACATCAAGATGGTAGAGTGTTGTGTAGGGAATGGACGTCAAGATGGTATGGTAAAGTGTTTGGAATGGACGTCAAGGTGGTAGGGTGATGTGTTGGGAATGGACGTCAAGATGGTAGGGTGATGTGTAGGGAATGGACGTCAAGATGGTAGGGTGATGTGTTGGGAATGGACGTCAAGATGGTATGGTAAAGTGTTTGGAATGGACGTCAAGATGGTAGGGTGATGTGTTGGGAATGGACGTCAAGATGGTAGGGTGATGTGTAGGGAATGGACGTCAAGATGGTAGGGTGATGTGTTTGGAATAGATGTCAAGATGGTATGGTAAAGTGTTTGGAATGGACGTCAAGATGGTATGGTGAAGTGTTTGGAATGGACGTCAAGATGGTAGAGTGATGTGTTGGGAATGGACATCAAGATGGTAGAGTGATGTGTAGGGAATGGACATCAAGATGGTATGGTAAAGTGTTTGGAATGGACGTCAAGATGGTAGAGTGATGTGTTAGGAATGGACATCAAGATGGTAGTGTGATGTGTTGGGAATGGACGTCAAGATAGTAGAGTGATGTGTTGGGAATGGACGTCAAGATAGTAGAGTGATGTGTTGAGAATGGACGTCAAGATAGTAGAGTGATGTGTTGGGAATGGACGTCAAGATAGTAGAGTGATGTGTTGGGAATATATAACATGGACATCAAGAATGGTAAGGTGATGTATATTCCGTAAATTTGTTTGAAAGAACTTTTGTTGATTGAAAATTGATAGAACAGAAATTTGATTGAACGGAAGTTTGGTCGAATTTTATTTTCAGTTCACACTATCAAATTTTGCGTCAAATTTTTTTTTGAATGCATTATTTTGTTTTACTATATACTATAGTATAGTACGTTTAAAAAGAAATTAGACAAAAATTTGATTGTGTGATTTTTAGTGAACTGAAAATAAAATTCGACCAAATAAATAAAGTTCGATCAAATTTCCATTCGATCAAACTTCCGTTGATCAATTTTCTGTTGACGAAATTTCTTTCAAACAAATTTACGGTAGCCATGGTGATGTGCTGGGCATGGATGTCAAGATGGCATAGCGACATGTTGGGAAGGGATGTCACAATTTTATAGTGATATGTTGGGCATGGATGTCAAGATGGTAGGGTGATATTTTGGTGGTGCATTAATGAGGAAGTAAAAAGGGGAATCCTTTACAATAATATTGATAAAAGCATTTTTCCACTGAAGGCCATCAATCAAATAGATTTTTTTTTTTTGCTGCACATTAACTCCCGGGAAACAATTACAGGGTAACAACTTGAAATGGAAACAACTTAAAATAAATCATGGCGTTTTTATCAATTTATTAGAAACATACTTCTGAACAGAACTTTAACATAACAATAGACAACATAAGACATAAATGAACACAACACACATAAATAAAGTCTTTCTACAGCTCAGTTGATATGTTCTACATATAAGACGACACGTTGCATCACTGTTTGTGGTATTTTACCATAAGACTAAAATGTTTATAATTTTAAAAATAAATTTCCTCAACTTATTGTCTGCTCTTGCTACCAGTTTAGTGATTTATTTTGACAAAAACAACATTTCATTAATACCGGAAATAATCACATTCAATTACAAACCTATTTTTTTAAAAGTGCTTAATTTGACTGAAGGAATGTTCATCTTAAATGGTACCACGACTGAGTTCTTCGGTATACTTTCTTTGAGGAAAAACTAAAAACAACAACAACAAAAAACAATAACTTTGAAAGATGAAACATTCTGTTGTACTTCTGGTCATTGTACTTTTTAATTGGAATATTGAGATTTGCTTTTCCTTTAAAAAAAAAAATTAATATCTTTGTTCCATTTTTTTTATGAACAGATTTTTGTTAGGATAATGCGAATGACAAATTTACTTTTTGAAACCAATATGTTAGATAATGTTTCTTTTAATGGAAAAGATTTTATTTTAAACAAATGATGTCTTTGAGTTCAATTAAGTTTTTGGGTACCTCTGAACAGGCAGCCAAGGCTAATTTAGAATGCCAATAATAATTCGGGAACTTAGTTTCTTCAATTAATTTTTATAGGGACCTCCATGAGTGAAATATAAAATTGATCCTGACAGTACAGCTAACACATTTCACATGAAAACCTGCAGATGTTTTTTGTTCTACCATCTGGTTGGCTTTTAAAATAATATTATGAACAATTATAAATAAAGCATTTCTTTTTTGGAATATATGACCACTTATGAGTCTTTATAGCTGGGGTTCTAATCTTTTTATAGAGCAGTGCCCCATCTTCATTTCAAAACATATTTACACCATCATCACAATAATCAATGCTGATAATAATGCAAATGAACCTGATTGTCCAGGTCTTTACACACCCTGACACTGACCCCTCAATTGTACTGTTATACCATTTTTATTTATTTTTTTTAAATTAAGGAAAATGAGTTAGAAATGAATCTCACCTGAGGACATTATTAGGCCTTTGTCTGGTTTGTAACCCAAAGACTGCCTGTACAAGACACATTTGCTAACAACATGTTCCTAGTTTACTGTAAAATTGCAGACGACTTATCTGAGACTTCACAGAAACTTAATCCAATTATCTCTGTTTAATTATAAATTTAAAAAAAAAAACAAATAAATTATTCAAAATCCTTATATATACAGTTGTGATTGATTGGTTCAAGGGTTAAGGTAGATGACTCATCATATTTAGGCCCCTGGAAATTTTGCTCTGACTGCAGCCATCTGAAGATTAAAAAAAGTTTTTGATTTCATAAACACTTAACTTGTTTTTAAAGCACCTCTAGAACTAAAGTTAGCATCATCTACAAGGGCAAAGCAAGCCTGTTTAAAAAGCCTGTTTATATATATTTTATATTTTAAGAACTTGAGTTGTGATCATTAAAAATATATATATATTTTTAAACTCTGGCCACGGAAGAAGACTTTAACTCTTCAAATTCAACAAAAATTTTAACAAGACACTGCCTGTGACAATAAGGTTCTTTCTCCATTAACTTTTGAAATGACACTTAATTCTTCTTCTGTTCTGGGTATATGCTACAAATGAGTTATGTCCAACTGAATATTGATGATGTTTTGAGAGCATGAAAATAACACAACTGAATTGACTGCATTCTAACTGCTGCTTTTTGACAAGTTTGTCTAGAGAAATTTACCTTCACAGCACGGTGTGTACATGATATTAAAAATTAAAACTAAGTTCATTGTTTGTTTCATTAAAAAATAGTTTTTTAATGATAGAAAATCATTATTTTACCTCCTTTTCAGCATATTTTTTCTTATTCATGAACAACTCAGCTTTCTGCATCTCACCAAGTTTTGCATATTGTCTGGCTTCCTGTTCAAGGCCTATGGCTTCTTTTTGCACAGCTGCCAGGTAGGCTTTCAAATAGATTATTGGAGAAGTTTAATAAACCAATGAATGGCAGCAAAGTCATCATAAATTAAACTGTCATTTAGGATGGCAATAGTTTTAATAACATAAATATTGTCTTATTGACCAGTAGGCAAATTCAAGTTCAACCATGATACAAATATTAATACATTTCTAAATATGTCCTTTGTAATTATAATATAATATATAATATCAGCAATTAAAACATTCAATGTGCAAGTTTTGTTTTAAAAAGTTAAGTCTTAAAATTCCTTTCTTCCAGCCTATTAAATATCTTTCCAGGCCTCTATGACACATGCTCTCAGTACCAGACTATTCATATATCTTTCCATGCTTCTATACCACTTCTCTCAGTCCCAGACTATTAATGCCGCCTTCTCTCAGTCCCAGACTATTTAAATACGGTACCTTTCCAGGCTTCTATGCCACCTTCTCTCAGTCTCTTCTGTTGGAGTTCTAGTTTCTCCTCTATTAATGCACTTTTGTGTTTGAGAGCCTGGGTCTGGGTTAGGCTAAGGCTGTCTTTCAGCTGGAATATCTGCAGTGGACAGAATCAGAAATAATATATGACAACCATTTTTCTTGTTGACAAAAACAAAGAGAAACGCTCTGATATTTACTGATATCTAAAGGAACTAGGAATACATAGTTAATACATTGATATATTCCTAGTCCACAGAGTTATCAGTCAATTAGGATTAATTCTTTGAAATAGAGCGATAAAAGTAAATGAAATGACCTCAACGTAACCATAAAATTGGTATTATTGATAAATATTTTATTCTACTAGCAGAGATGGCTGGAAAATTGTTAATGGAAAGATCCGCCAAACCCTTCAAAATCTCTCTTCAAGTCAAGAAATAAAAAACAACAAATGAATTAGTTGATTTCTTTGTAAGTTGTGCATGATGTTTAACATAAGGAAGCAGAAGAGCAGATAACTCAGTTGATTCACGTCAAGAGTTAAATAATGTAAGATAAAAAAGACCAAAAAATAATGAACCAAATTGCCCTCACTTGTTTGTCCAGCATCTGCTTTTCAAACCTCAAAACTTCCATGCATATAGTTCCTTCACTGAAAACAGAAATACATTTGCATCAGCCATAAATAACTGGTGAAGGAGTAAAAGAACTATTGTAACTTATGCTTAAATAGGCAAAGGTTGTTCAAGTTTTATTTTGTTTTAGTTGCCGTCGCTGGCTTGAGGGGGTTACCCTTTTATTCTCAAAGTGTATGTTATGTTCCATTGACTGTATGTAAGTCAGTAACAGAAACTGCCAAGAGAGTTCATATCATTCATGGGTAATCTAATCTTTCACGTTTTTCTGTCATGTGAAACTTAGACCAATGTGTTTTGGCACTGGGAACACAATGGAAATAAGTAACTTAAAGTTTAAAAGTCAGACTTTCAGTTCAGAGCCTGAAAAATTTTGACACTTCTGGGGATTGGTTGAGAAATGATTTGGAAAAGATTAACACAATCTTACATTTCCAACTCATTTTTGTTGTAACAGAGTGACAGGACGAGATCATTTTAAGGACAACTACGATATATTTGTCTCTCACACAAATGACAGTGATTGACGTTTAATTAAAGATGACAACTTTTTAATTCTAAGTGAGTATGTTAAGTATCTATTTCAATAACAAAAATTTAGCCATTTCTCAGAGGTGTGACTGAATTTCATTATTAAACTGATTTTGTTGACAGTATAGAACAATATAGGACTCGAATTCTCTTAGAAAAAACAAAGCAAAAAAAAAAAAAAAGAAAATATAACAAGAATAATATTATTAAATTGATTTTGTTGACAGAAAAAAACAAAAAAGAACTCAAATTCTCTTAAAAAAAACAAAAAAAAAAAAAAAAAAAAAAAAGCCATTTTCACTTGCTTTCGGAATAAGCAGAAAGGGGAAATAATTCACTTGATTACTCTTATTTTGCTTAATGAAATTAGTTGTCCATAACCAGAATACAATCTTCTCTTCCCAGACGACGCGTGCAGGTGGCGTCAGTACTTGCTTTCGGAATAAGCAGAATGGGGAAATAAATCGCTCGATTACTGTTATTTTGCTTATTAAAATTAGTTGTCCATAACCAGAATACAATCTTCTCTTCCCAAACAGACGACGCGTGCAGGTGGCGTCAGTTACAATTTTTAACCTAGTAACTTCAAGAGGGCCTCATGAGATTATGAAAAAATTTAAACAATATCAGTTGGTTGGCAAACTATAAAGAATTGAAGAATGCCAAACGAACTTGGCAGTACTCCCATTGGCAATAAGACAACAATTTATTTATAGACACAAAATTGTATGTTTATATTCTTAAAAATTCCAAAATGTTTCCCTTTGTAAAAAAAAACCAGGTGAATAAAGCAAGTAAAAAATGACAAGCTATTGTTAGGATGCAAGCAAAGGTCATGTTTTAAATTAACTAACTATAACCAGAATGATAAAAGACAAATATACAGTAATGAGAATAAAATATCACAGTTGGCTCTTCTTGTTACCATAACAATGTAAACAAAAACAACATGAGGAGAGCATTTGAAATTAATATTCTGTAGAATTATAGAAGAAAGTTTTATTTGAAAAAAAAAAATTTTGGAAAATATAAATAAATCACCATAATCAGAATAAAATCTGCATTTATTGTACAAATAACATGTTAAAAATGCAGACATTCTTGGACGGAGAGTTGGGAGTTGAACACAAGATAGATGTTAACACACCTTTGTTAACTCTTTGTTTGACATCCAGATACCTACAAAATTCTACATTTTTTTTCTCACTTGTTTTTTTTTTTTCAAGCTAAAAGATTGTACATTTCAAAGATATTTAATAACACGAAACAGAAAAAAATAAATAATTTTAGAAACATCAAATGATCATATTGTCATTGGGACTTTACCTTTTTTTTTTGAATTATAAGAATAATCTTATAAAGCACAGTCTCTTATTTTACAAGCATTTAAGAAAAAAAACTAAACTGCACATTCTTCATTTGACTATTTAAAGCACAAAATAATCTTCCAATGTAATGAGGTGTGCTCAATAGTGACTTGATCAGAATTTAAGAACAGAGAAAATATATCTTGCATCATATGAAGATTGTCATTATAACTCAATAACGAATAAACATACATAATTTCATATAAGTTGGCTTTAATACATTAATCCTCAACTGTAAAAATTCCAACATTTCTTGGAATATATGAATATGATTTGCATACTATAATGTTAATATAAATGTGTAGAAAAATTATATCAATCATTATGACTACAGGAAATAATTTAATTTTCTTTGAGAATTGGTAGTGAAATATTGAAAAAATCCATGAAGTTGGTAATTTCAAGACTGGGCTGTAAATTTGGACTGTAATCAATGGTGTCAAAATAAGTACTGTGAATTAATTAAACATGTCTAAAAGTTATCATGTTGCAATCAATGTTGTCACAATAAGTACAGTGAATTAATTAAATATGTCTAAGAGATATCATGCAACAACAGCACTGGTTACAAAAGATACCAATCCTTCAAAGAACCATTTTATAAACCCAATTCCAAGAATGATTTCTCTAATTAACATCATACATATGCTCATGACACCTTGTACTTGGAGATGAACAAATTGTTCATACTTCTGTATGTTTTCACTGTAATAAATCAACTCCACAATTTCTTAGAAACATCAATTTCTGTTTTTTTAGGTCATTAATTATTGGAAGTTATTTTTGCATGAAAAATCTTCCGAAATCAAATCATAATTATCAATTTCAAGTATGACAATGTCACAATGTAGTCTTTATATACTTTTTGGAAACTGTTAAATTTTATTAAATTGGAACTCTCTGAAGCAACATTTCAATTATTTTTGTTAAAACATTTTTAAACTCAATCTTTTGACTAATTCCAACAACTTGATGTATGGATTTTACAACTGTATCACAGCCATTGATGTACCGGTAAACCATATTTACAAATTCAGCCAAAAATCTTAACAGAAATGATGAAAACTTGGAAACTCATTTGTCTGGCCTCATCATTACATCAAATTACATTGAACTCAAATAAAATAAAAGGTTTCTTTTACGCATCTTAAATCTTGATTACATAGGAGCTCCCTTATACCAATAGCGCTACGATAATGAACACACTTTAGAAGTTCTGTGGATAAAATAGAAACAAAGTGGGACAAATATTTGAATTGTTAGCTTTCTCAAATTACTGTTATAAATTTTGAGTACCCTACTAACATTGATGTGCTGTATATCATTATTAGGTGGCATTTAATTTTACATAAGCAACTTTTAGGGCAATTTTTTTTTTAATGATTCTATAAATTTTTTTATATATGGTATCCAAATACATTGGTAAACAAGTGGTGAATTAGATTAAAAATATTTGATGACATATTTTACTGCAACATTAAAATAAAAATCTCAATATTAATACAAACGTTTTTCAATATAAAATGATATTGTCAATATGTTTTATTTAAACCAAAAAAATGTGCAGTTAGGAACTCTACTAAAAATTAAAATATTAAACTCTTTTTTTTTTAACCATTTTATTTGACTTGACTTAGTCATTGCCTGTCTTTCCCACCATATATTACAAATATTAGGCTATTTTTAGATAATACACCAACAGCTCTTATCTGATATCCTCAAGAAAGTAAAATTAGATTGAACTTTTTAAATCGGCTGAATGTAGTTGTTTTGTTAATTTTTACTCTTGAATATTCATCGTAGTTACTTAAACTTTAAAAAACATACATTTAAATTGTAGGCGCTGGAGAAAGTAAAAAATTAATATTGTAGTCAATTTTAACTAACAGTAAACTTGTACAAGTTTTTATTTGAAGAAATTTCTTTTGTAGCTCAAATGATTTAACACTTTTGGTTGAATTTAAAATAAAAAATTAAAAAATTGAACATATTTTGCAGTGATAATTTCTGGAAAAGAAGAAAAGTTGTCATTTTCTGAAAGATGCCTTTAACAGAGAAGAAATTGTTTGAATTTGATAATCCTTTGAAATAAAATCCAGGCCAATACCTGGCTTAATATGATAAAAAGAGCATGTGATTGGTCCACGGTGCAGAACTCACTCAAGAAAACTTAAAAAGTGATCGAATCTAGTCACAAAAATAAAGCTCTATTTCGGTGAATAATTCACAATCACAATACATTCACTTGATATGTTTTCATGTCTTAAATTTTTGTGTAGAGTTTTTTTTTTAAATTAAAGAAACCATGCAATGATTAAATAAAATTATTTCAATTAATTGATATTAAGTCAGTTTTTGTATTTAAAGAAAACACTAAAAAACTTTGAGATGCAGAGGGAAGAAAATGAAATAAACGGTAAACAAAACTTTGTGCCTTGTGTAAGTGAATTATAAATAATTAAATGTTCACACATGTCCATATTCCAAATACATTAATGTGTAAAGAAAAATTAAAATAAACAAAACAAGACTGACACAAAATATTTATGGACACAGCAGTTAAACAAAATTCTAAGAACAACTCTTTTGATTCTCTTTTTGTCATTGAAATCAACAAAAAAACATTCAAATTCAATACATTAGTTCCTATTTCAACTTGATGTTAGCAAACAAAGAAATAACGTACCGCTGAGGTAAAAACCTTGCGTCAAACTCATCAAGGGGAAGTGCAAAAGAGTCAAGCAAAAAAAAAGTACATTACTGTAATAGCAGCTAAATATCTAGGTTTGCAAGCAACAAAATAAAGCATATTGCAAATAAACTTACCTGTTTGTCTTGGGAGCCTATAATGGTGAAAATAAAATATGAATGTCAGACAGTTTTCACCCTAAATTCTCACAAGTTTGTTGTCTTTAGTCAAAGCTTCACCAAGTTCATTTATCTTAAAATCTAGGACAGTGGTACCTTGGTGTACGCCCTTAATCCCTCTCAGATCCTTGATTTATACCAAACAAATTTTTCCCATTATAAATAAAGGACAAATTATTAATATATTTCCATGAGTAAAAATGCTACTGTCATTTGCATAAAATATTAATTGATGGGGTTGTATAAAATAATGTATACATTGCTTAATACTAAAATACATATACACTAAAGCAATTAAATACGAAAGAGTCCCGTTTCAATCAAACTTCATTAATAATAAAAATCCTTTGTTTTTTCTCTTTTCTGTCTCTTTTCCCTACTTGGACCTGGTTGAGGATCACCAGGTTTGACTTTTATTAAAAATATGGACAGCACTATTTAAAACTTAATCATTCAATTTTTATTTTTATTTTTTCTATCCACGAAAACAAATAAATGAATAAAATATGGCAAAAAGTAAAAATAAACATCATAAAGAAACTGACCTTCACTTCAGCTTGACTCTGAAATAAACAGAAGCAAAAATAAATTAAGAATGTGTAAGACCAATATTCCCTATGATTATGTTGATGAGTTTCCTATGGCAGTATGCAGATACACCAAAGCCTCCGCCATCTTGGTGAAAATGGATCCATATTCTTCCGTTTTTGATATGACGATAAGGATTTTTAAAAAATACCTTGTTTTTGATATCAATGCATATTTTTTTTTAGTTTAGCCAGTGCTAATTTTTTATTAGTTAAAAAACTCTTGGCTATGTTTTTTGTGAGGAAAAGATAATAAATTTACATTACTAATTGTTTCTGAGATTCCAACTTGATCCAAGTTTAAAGACTTTAATAATTGTAATATTCATATGACATGTGCATATCAGCGGATTTTGAATTTCCGATTTTAAAAATACGGAAACATCGGGAATTTTTTCTTGAAATAAAATAGCTGGTTATTTCTCTGTGAACTTGATATAAAAAAAAAATCATAAAATGGTTCAGCCTTCATACATCTTATGTACCCAATCCACGACTCGCTACACATAAGTCGTTATTATTCACAGAGCTGTCAGTTTTATTTACGCTGAACAACCATAAAATATCTGGCCAAACTAAATATTAAAGAACTTATTTACCTTAGAGCCCACTGTCCTAATAAATTGATCGATCACAAGCCACTTTTCCTTCACTTCGTCCACCTGTTTATTTTTCAAGGGATCTCGCAGCCTGATTTTAACCTCCAGCTTGCCGCCAACAGTCTTCCTCCCCTCCATCAACTAAAAGGATAGAGTCGTTAAGTTCTCAATAACACAAAATAACTTACTAAAAATAAAATTTATATAAAAATAAATAACAGTCACATTATTTATAATTTTTTTATTTATATAATAATTGCTGTGATAACCATTAACAAGTTTTTCTTAGATCAAGATAAGCAGATACCATCTGCAGAAGACCTCCAAAAATTTTTACCACTGCCTCAGGCAGTGTGCACATGCCTAAAAACAGCTAGAGGATCAGAAAAATTATCTTTGTTCATTTTAAGACGATTAAGAGACTACTTCGCACTGCAATATTTTATTCAACTTATCAGAGATGAAACAATATCTTAACTACAAATCTCACATCATAGCTTTCATGAATTGTACATTTATCTTCCAAAGGTTGCAGCTTTACATTAACTGTACCCAAAAGTTTTTCTCCCTTGAAAAATCCCCTGGAGAAAAAAAGCAAACATATTAAAGACCACAGCAGCATAGAGAAAAAAATGTTACGTAATATTTGTTTTAAAAAAAAACAAAAAAACAACAAAAGTTGCTCAAATTTGTCTATTAAAAAATATTTATAATAGAAATCTATAAACCTTCACTTAAATGTGACATCATAGATAAAATAGATGTTTATTTCTGCTGGATGTTGTTTCACAAGGAAAAGAAGTAAAATAATGTCAGATGCTTGGTGAGATGGATTGTGGACAACACCAACTTGGAGTAAGAGCAAGACCTAAATGACAGTACCTTTTGATGAAGACATCCAATTTGATGGTTTTCCTTTCAACAAACCGAAACAGACCTTTTGACTTGCGATTGATTTGTAACTTAAAAGTTTCACTGTATTCTAGAAAAGACAGACAATAAATTTACTTCAAAAGTCTAGATAGCATATTATTATTTAATACTTATTACCACATTAATTATAAATTAAGCCTTTCCACACCAAGCATTTTTTCAGAACCATTGCACTATAAAGCAATGACTTCAATTGAAATATCTTTTAATACTAAATTTGGGAACAAAATGGAAAAAGCAATCATTAAGTTAAAGTCTAAAAGCCTAGATAGTAAATCCTGACCTGGGTTAATGGTATTTTTCACTGTGGCTGTACCACCGGTCTGCGGCTGTTCCTGTGATAAAATAAATAGATGCAGTAATGAAGCACACTTATGATTAGTCACAATTACTCTTACTTTATCTTGTGAAGCACACTTATGATTAGTCACAATTGCTCTTACTAGATCTTGTGAAGCACACTTAAGATTAGTCACAATTACTCTTACTTTATCTTGGTATCCACTGGTTCTTTATTGTTAGTCCTCTGCAATTTTTATCTTATCAATTTAAAAGACTTGAGAATATATTTTATACTCTATTTTTGTTTAAAATCTCATGTTGAGCAATACCTACCGGGACTTTATCCATTTAAAAGACTCCAGAATATATTTGACCTAACTTCCCATTTTAAAAGTCCAGTGTTGAGCAATACTTACTGTTGGGTATGCTAGTTCATACTTGACGCATGTGTCCATGTCTTTCTCTGAACTACCTGAATAAAAGGATAAATTAGTTGAATCAATGCTTTTCTTGAGTTGTGTTATCTAACCAAAGTCTGGTCCCATATATATAATATTATACAGGGGTAATAAGAAAGAAACATAGTTACTGTTATATTATAAATTATAGCCTAGTATAGTATTTGGCTTGTCCTAATTTTTTTCACTTCAACATAGAGCTTTTTTGCCACCACACTTTTCTCCTGCTGGTATGGCCTTGATATTGTGTCACTCCTTCCTTGACCACCCTTTTCTTGGCTGGGAAAAAGTTGTTTACATTCGAATGCATTCCATTTGTTCCAAATAGGTTATGCAATTTCTAGAATTTCTTGACTAGAATGTTTTAAGCTGGTTCCTATGAACAGACTGCCCTACTTCTGATAGACAGATTGAGACAGATAGAGAGAATGAGACAGACAGATTGAGACAGATAGAGAGAATGAGACAGACAGACGGAGACAGATAGAGAGAATGAGAGATTTTAGACTATAAGAGACGTTGTATAATTGTGTTTAAATAGGTAATTAATATAAAACTGTTATCCCAAGCCTGCCTAACCTTCTACTTGACGTTAAAAAAACTCACGTCTGCCAAGTCAAAGGGGCATAACTCTAATTAGAAATGACATATACATTTTTTTATAAAAGAAAAAAAAAATGAATGAAATTTGAATAAAGTTGTCATAGTAGTTAACTTAAGCAGTCCGGCTGTAAAGATAAAGTTAGCTAACTGACCTGAGGGCAGATTATACTGGATTCCCCTAACAATGGTCAGCTCCAGGTCAGCATCCCCTAAATCTGTGTTGGACCTAGACAACATCATGTATACCTAGATTATATAATCATATAAACATGAGGAGGGGGGGGGATGAATCCTTTAGTTTGGAAAACACCTCTAAGACATATTGGATGACATAACCCTTGATTTTTTCATAACATTTTCTGAGTGATCCAAGTAAGTGAACATTTTTAGAAAAACTTAATAACATTGAATACTCACTGCACCATAGAAAATGTTTTTGTTTCATAATGAAATTTTGGAGCTGGGTCTCCATGACGCTGGGCACTTTTCAAGGATTCTAAATCTCTGCGGTTGTTTTGCTCCAGTTTTTCAAATCTTCAATGAACATTAATAAAAATAAATTAGCAGGTGTCCACCTTTAAGTCTTTTTATTTCTAATGCTGATTAAAACAATTTGATGTTCCAAGACAAATTTGCTTTCACTCAAGTTAATAGAAAAAAAATTAAATGAAATTCCTGACTCTACCGTAAAGGACCTTTCCACTCTTAAATTGGTAATTTCTATTGAGATTTTTTTTTTAATTTGAGCAGACAATAACAAATGATATTTACTTTGATGCAGCAGGGACATCTCCTAACTTTTGGTAATGTTGGGCATTGGTGACACATATCTGCAAATAAAGTTGATCATAAAATGGTGGGACATTATTTTGATTATACTGACAGGTGTACCAAACATCATGATTGGGAGTAAAAGCATTTACATGAGAAAACTCTTTTATTTTATTGCCTATTTTATAACAATGCCATGTGATTCACTGACCCCGATTTGTCTGATCAGGTCTTCTGTTAAATTTTTGTAGACCTCTTCCCTGTCACCTGTTGGTTGACAGTCCTCTGCTGACACGATCACAAACTTGTCTTCTGCATCCCCAGCAAACGGGGAATCTGGAACCTAGGATTAAATTCAAAGCTAGAACAGGGCAAACTGTAAACATGGCACTTGAACAAATACAACCATTTATAGCTATTTCAGTTATGTACAAATAGTTTAAAAAAAAAAAAAAAACTTAATTAAAAATAGAAAAAAAAAAAATACAAGGAAAAAAATAAAAAAACAAAAAAAAAAAAAACTAAAATAAATTCAAAGCTAGAAAAGGGCAAACTGTAAACATGGCACTTGAACAAATACAACCATTTATAGCTATTTCAGTTATGTACAAATAGTTTAAAAAAAAAAAAAAAAAAACTTGATTAAAAGTGGAAAAAAAAAGATTGCATGGAAAAAGTTTATAAAACAATGAAAATCAAACCTGAGATAGTTCAACTGGCAATCCACTTTCACATGCTTCAATCATGGGCTCAATACCCTGGCAAGAAAATCAGACAAATTGGAAAAAAAAAAAAGGAGTTTTTTAAAAATGAATAATGTATTTGACATGGAAAATCATCAATTTCATCAATTTCATCATCTCCATCAATAAACATGGCGTAATCACTAGCACAAACAAAACAAAAGTTGTATACAACAAGATTACAAGCAATCATTACCTCACCCACTAGGATACAACAAGATTACAAGCAATCATTACCTCACCCACTAGGTAACTTGTTAACAGTAGTTCAAGGTTCACGATATTAATGTTTTATCTTAAGTCTACCTTCATCCTTAGTATGTCTATCTTAAGTCTACCTTCATCCTTAGTATGTCTATCTTAAGTCTACCTTCATCCTTAGTATGTCTATCTTAAGTCTACCTTCATCCTTAGTATGTCTATCTTAAGTCTACCTTCATCCTTAGTATGTCTATCTTAAGTCTACCTTCATCCTTAGTATGTCTATCTTAAGTCTACCTTCATCCTTAGTATGTCTATCTTAAGTCTACCTTCATCCTTAGTATGTCTATCTTAAGTCTACCTTCATCCTTAGTATGTCTATCTTAAGTCTACCTTCATCCTTAGTATGTCTATCTTAAGTCTACCTTCATCCTTAGTATGTCTATCTTAAGTCTACCTTCATCCTTAGTATGTCTATCTTAAGTCTACCTTCATCCTTAGTATGTCTATCTTAAGTCTACCTTCATCCTTAGTATGTCTATCTTAAGTCTACCTTCATCCTTAGTATGTCTATCTTAAGTCTACCTTCATCCTTAGTATGTCTATCTTAAGTCTACCTTCATCCTTAGTATGTCTATCTTAAGTCTACCTTCATCCTTAGTATGTCTATCTTAAGTCTACCTTCATCCTTAGTATGTCTATCTTAAGTCTACCTTCATCCTTAGTATGTCTATCTTAAGTCTACCTTCATCCTTAGTATGTCTATCTTAAGTCTACCTTCATCCTTAGTATGTCTATCTTAAGTCTACCTTCATCCTTAGTATGTCTATCTTAAGTCTACCTTCATCCTTAGTATGTCTANGCTCCTGCCTTGAATGGAGACGTTTCCTTCCCGCGTTTGTATACAGTGAACATTTTACACGCTGACAATTTTATTAGAACTATAATTACACAATATAAGTTATATATATATATATATATATATATATATATATATATATATCATGAATCTGACGCCGCATGCTTTTGATGAGCAATGACTTTTTAAATCTCTTAGCTCTGCTATTTCTATCGCAAGCTGTTTCATATAACCTCATGATTATGCTATTAATCATTATTATTTGTCAGTATTACTTATGTGATACATAAGATATTTATGGTTACTTATGTCATACATTTAGACATAATACATTTTCAAATGAGTGAAATATTAAAACTGATAACTTGGTGCAGAGTGCCTGAATCAATCAATGGCATAACATTGCCCCGTTCATTAAATTACTCAGAAATCATCTTATATTTGTAACTTTACTTGTCATTGTAAAAGCAGGTTAATATTGTGATGTTACAATATTTATAAATAGGAGTGTTTTTTATGATATAAATCATATCTTATCTGTTATGACCTGGTTTATGAGCTTGTTTTGTGTTGTGGATATATGTAATAATATGTGTAGTAATATGTGTAATATTAAAACTGATAACTTGGTGCAGAGTGTCTGAATCAATCAGTGGCATAACATTGCCACGTTCATTGCATTACTCAGAAATCATCTTATAATTGTACATTGCCACGTTCATTGCATTACTCAGAAATCATCTGATATTTGTAACTTTACTTGTCATTGTAAAAGCAGGTTAATATTGTGATGTTACAATATTTATAAATAGGAGTGTTTTCTATGATATAAATCATATCTTATCTGTTATGACCTGGTTTATGAGCTTGTTTTGTGTTGTGGATGTTTGCTCAAGACTTATGGTTTGAATAGTATTGCCAGGGCTAGACTGAGGTGGGTTTTGAAGTCTGAATATCAACTAACATGTCAGAATGTTTATATGTTGGGAGCACGAGGATAGTTGGTAGTGTGCTGTTTGAGTTCAGAGAGTGGCCATAGTGCGCGGAGAGCTCTTGCAGTGCATGGACAGTTCTTGTTAGTCATTGTAGTTCAGTCATGGTATTTCAGTATTGAGTGCTAATGTGTCTAATGCAGCTGTCCCTTTTGACCATATAAACTTATAATTGTGTAGTTGTAATTGTAAGTAAAGAGGTCTAGTTATTTTCAACCTAGCATTGTTGCTGAATTTAATTTTTAGACTGAGTGTTGCCGGCAAGTGGAAATCATACATAGACTGAGCCTTACAAACTGCCAAGAATTAGACTTACTTACTGCGGGAGTTTGTAGGAATTATATATACTCATATATCTAAAATTAGGTCAACACAAAATTTAATTTAATAACGTTAGCAAGGCATTCTATTTATTGCATTGTATTTATTAAAAAGTAAGCTTTTTTTTTTTTTTACCTCCAAGTTAGAATTTCATGATGTCTTTTTAAAATCTAAGTTTATTCATACTTTATCAAAAAACTGTTTTTGTTATAATTTGATTGAATTTAATATTGCAAAAAGAGTTATAAATATAAGATAAGAAAAAAACAATTATATAAATCTAGTTACAGCTGGCCAAACATTGGTGACAGCAGTTTGTTGTCTTCCCATCTACTAAAGTCACTTGAAAAAACATGAACTCAAGTAACGCACATTTAAGAATCCCAATTTTAGCTACACCCCTTCCCCCATGATACGTCACTGCACACTTTTTATTTCACGCCCATGAACTATATTAATATTCTCATGTCCCAACCACTTTTAAACCGAATATTTATTACGCATGATTTAAATTGAGACAATTTCATTTTCTGAAAAGAAAATATTACGCACCAAACGCAGTTGCGACATATCCGGAAAGGGATGCAGTCACACCAAAATATATAAGAAATGTAAGACAATCACTGACCATTTTGTCTCTGAATAGGGCCAGACGATGGCCCGGGCTGCTGGCCAAATGATGGTCCCGGCTGGGCAGCAGCCCTTTCTTGAGGAACTCCTGGCTTGGCCGCCACAGCCGGTGCCGTGACTGGCTTGTTTGCCACAGCGGGCGGTCCGGCTGGTCTGGCTGCTACGCTTGGGGATGTTGCTGGTTTTTGTGCCACAGGCGGTGCAGCAGAAGAAGGGGCAGGTGCCCTCGGCTGAGGTGCAGAGGGCACGGAGCTTGGTTTGTCCTGAGGAATGGGTGCGTAGCCTGAAAGTAATAAATGATAACTACAGCTGCGGAGAAAAAACCATCTCAGCACCAAAATTTATTCTGAAACTATTCAAGCATAAACTAAATCATTGATTTGTTGACATTATAAAAATTAAACAATAAATTAGAAAAGTGAACAACAATGAAACAATAAATTAGATAGGTTAGCTTTGTAGCCTCCAAATGTTAAGAATAAAAATAAAGGAACTAGCCTGGTGGTGTTGGCAGCTCATCAAGCTCTATTGGCTTCCCCACCTTGTACATTTTGATAGCATCCTCATATTGCTAGAGATAATCAAATGTAACATAATAACTGCATTAGGATTAGAAACTTAGGATAAATATATACAATTGATGCCTTTTTATAAACACTTAAACCACAAAGACAGAGCAAGTTTGGTTCCATACAGTGTAGGACAGATCATTTGTCATAAAAAATTGTAGCAAAGATTATCAGGGCATCTGATATATTGAGATTTTAAAGCTTACATAGTCAAATATTTGCATCAAGGAAAGGAAGTACAGAAAACAAGAGTAGAAAGTAGTTCTCACAAACCTTAACTATGCTTCCCAAGTAGGTCTCACAAACTTTAACTACACATACGAATTAGGTCTCAAAACCTTAACTATCCTCAATTAGGTCTCACAAACCTTAACTATTTTTCCCAAGTAGATCTCACAAACATTAACTATCCGTCCCAAGTAGGTCTTACAAACCTTAACTATCCTTCCCAAGTAGGTCTCGCAAACCTTAACTATCCTTCCCAACTTCCCAAGTAGGTCTTACAAACCTTAACTATCCTTCCCAATTCGGTCTAGCAAACCTTAAATATCCTTCTCAAGTAGGTCTCACAAGCCTTAACTATTCTTCCCATTTAGGTCTCACCAATCTTAAATATCCTTACCAAGCAGGTCTTACAAACCTTAACTATCCTTCCCAAGTAGGTCTTACAAGCATTAACTATCCTTCCCATTTAGGTCACACAAACCTTAAATATCCTTCCCAAGTAGGTCTTACAAAACTTAATTATCCTTTCAAAGTAGGTCTCACAAACCTTAACAATCTTTCCCAAGTAGGTCTCACAAACCTTTACTATCCTTCCAAATTAAGTCCCACAAACCTTAGCTATCCTTCCCAAGTAGGTTTTACAAACCTTAACTATCCTCAATTAGGTCTCACAAACCTTAAATATCATTCCCAAGTAGGTCTCAGTAACCTTAACTAGCCTTCCCATTTAGGTCACTTAACTATCCTTCCCAAGTAGTTCTCACAAGCCTTAACTATCCTTCCCAAGTAGGTCTCACAAACCTTAACTATCCTTCCCATTCGTCTTGCCTTGCCCGAGTCTCCCTCAGATTTAGCTGAACTTTCAGAAGATTTGTACTTCTCAAGTCTCTGGGTCAAAGCTTCCATTACCGTCTTTGGAGCATCTGGGGCATTAAACATGGCTTTTTCTTCTGTAATAATATGGGACATGACTCAACATTTACTTGTAATTCTCTCCCCTAATCCCCCAACTTTCAAAGGAGAGAAAAACATTTGGGAAATCACGACTCTTTTTAGAGGCAGACACCATACCAAAAATCATTAATAATCAAATATTAATTGCTTAAATATAAAACGATTGTACATAAAAAAATATAAAACTATCGTACATCATAACATATGAAACTTTTGTTCATAATAAAATGTAAAACTATCCTACGTAATAAAATGGAAAACTATACTTATACATCTGACAGATACTTGCACATCTGACTGATACACATCCAACTAATACTTACACATCTGACCGATACTTTCACATATGACTAAGGCACATCTGACTATTGCATACACATCTAAATATTGAGTACACATCTGAAAGATGCATATCCAACTATTGCGTACAAATCTGACCAACACATACACATCCACCTGACACTCACGTTCGGCACTGACTGTTGGCAACTCTGGTTCCGTCTCCTCTCCAGCTGCTTGATTGCTTGACCTTTGAACTGCTGTGTTCACCTGCGGCTTATTGACAGACTGCACAGATGCCCCTGCATGAACAAAGAACGGAATTCTTCATGCAAATAAGGTCATGTCATTTTTGGTGGAAATTATTTTAAGAAACACATTTTTCTTTAAAATCGCCAGAGTAAAATGAAGCTGACCTTGAACTTCGGCCGGTGGTGGTGGCATCTGTGACAAATCAACATTCTTGCCTTCATCAACGGCTTGTATCACAGTATCAAAACGCTGGGCAACATAACAAAGTTAAAAATTACAATGGAGGCTTTCCAAGAGTTACCAAAGTTATATTTGATGAAAAGTTTTTAAACTAGTAGGCCCATCAATTCCATTTGTAAAATTTTTTATACTATTTAACTCAAGAAACCCTAGTTTTTATAACATCTCATACTATTGGACTCAAGAATCCCATATTTGTATCACATCTTATACTATTGGACTCAAGAATCTCAAAATTGTATAACATCTTATACTATTGGACTCAAGAATCCCATATTTGTAACACATCTTATACCATTGGACTCAAGAATCCCATATTTGTAACACATCTTATACTATTGGACTCAAGAATCCCTATTTGTAACACATCTTATACTATTGGACTCAAGAATCTCCTATTTGTAACACATCTTATACTATTGGACTCAAGAATCCCTATTTGTAACACATCTTATACTATTGGACTCAAGAATCCCATATTTGTAACACATCTTATACCATTGGACTCAAGAATCCCATATTTGTAACACATCTTATACTATTGGACTCAAGAATCCCTATTTGTAACACATCTTATACTATTGGACTCAAGAATCTCCTATTTGTAACACATCTTATACTATTGGACTCAAGAATCTCCTATTTGTAACACATCTTATACCATTGGACTCAAGAATCTCCTATTTGTAACACATCTTATACCATTGGACTCAAGAATCCCCTATTTGTTACACATCTTATACCATTGGACTCAAGAATCCCATATTTGTATAACATCTGATACTTTTGGGTATTTGACTCAAGAAACCCTAGTTGCTAAAACCAATGTTTTGTTAAAGGCCAAGTGCTGACCTTGGCAATCTTGACATAGCTGCCAGCCTGAGTCATGTCCCCTGCTTGTTTAGCAATTAGTGCAGCTTTCCTGTACTCATCTCTTCTGGCCAGCAACACTTGCCTTGTGTCTAAATGTCAAGATCGATGGAATGGTAAGCACAGTTTATGATAAGTCCTTATGGTGTCAAGTTTTGGAAACAATTCATGAAGATACAAATAGGATTTGCAAAAATTAAGTCCACTTGCCTGACATTTTAAAGTAGATAATCTGGAAAAGGATGTGCATTTCCCTGAAATTTTTGGGGCTTTTTTCAAATTGTAAAAAAATAAAAAATAAACCTAAATATCTTGAGCATTCTCAATTATTGTTTTTATCTTCATATTCAACTAACATAGTTTTTAGAATTGTTTGAGGAAAATTGCTTTGAAAAATACTTATTTGTTGGATGCTATCACAAAGATCCAGTGTCAAATGTCATATTTAGATACTCACTATTCCCAGATGTGGCTGGTGCAGGAACTGGTGGAGTCACTGATGAATTTGCTGGGGATACTGCTATCAAAAGAATGAGTTGATCAGTTGTTTGTATAGAAATTATTGAACCTAATAAGCTAATATAAGTATTCAATTTGTAACAATGTTCCTTTTTTACTTGTTTTATAGAACGCAAACAATGTATTTGAAGGATATGTATGTGTAGTAAACTTAACCATTTTGTAATGTGTTATTTTAACTTGAATGAAGCGGAATTGCGCAGCTATTAATTTATCACACTGCATGCAAGTGTATGCAATTTTTTCACTAGCACTTTATATTCACACAACACATCAAGAGAAATGTATCTATGCTCCAGCTCGCTGTTGCGTTCCCTTAAACTTGTTTCGTTCTTTATTAAATGAATAAATCACAACTTTTAAATGAAAATAACTTTATTAAAATTGGATTTTTATCAAATCTTTAGTTGTTACACCGATGAATAGCAATTTTGTCAAAAATAGATTCAGATGATCAATTCGATCGCAACTTTGATGTAATTAATGATAATTCATCTATTAGTTATGCCAGCTCTAAAAATACAGATTCCTGTAAGTTGAATGCATTTAAATCCATAGAAATAGAAGTAATTGATTGTATTTAAATGCACAGATGTAACCAATTGCATTTAACTCCATAGAAATAATGTAATGTCTACAGGACAAAGTAGAGTTCATTATTCTATAACTTGATGTTTCTCTTATCTGGGCGAAAGTAAAAAAAAAAAGGAGGGGGGGAGGGGGGTCCAGACTTGTTAGGGGACACGATTAACAGATAACCTAAGGGGACAGGGCAATTTAGGGCTTTTTTCTACAGGACAAAGTAGAGTTCATTATTCTATAACTTGATGTTTCTCTTATCTGGGCGAAAGTAAAAAAAAAAAAGGAGGGGGGGAGGGGGGGCCAGACATGTTAGGGGACACGATTAACAGATAACCTAAGTGGACAGGGCAATTTAGGGCTTTTTTCAAACAAAACTTAGGGGTTTGCATTCATTGTGGATTCCTGTACACACTGTCAATTATGGTCAATGTTGTTTTATGGAAATCTGAAGAAAAAAAAACCCAATAACAAATCATTTATCCTCCAGATTAGGAAAACTATACACTGTTCATGCCAATATCAGCTTACCATTACTAGAGTGTGCCTGAGATGGAGGAGTGTCATGTGTACCACTGGCAGAAGGTTCAAGTCCCACGCTGGTGCCCATAGCTACGGGGGGAGGAATATCTTCTTCATTTATGGGTTTTCCAGCTTTCGCTTGACGGAGAAGGTCGGCCAGAGTCTAGAAAGTATCAAATTAAAATTCACAGCATGACCGTTTTAAAATCCAGTCTAAAGAAACGGAACGATTCTAAACTGGTTCTATAAATCAAAGGATTGATTCCCTACAGGGCATCAAATCTGTGCAAGTTTTTATAAATGCAATACTCATTAAACAATGGAGTTTTGAATGGACACTAACTACTTATGTCTAGAGTAATTTTTTTTTCTCTATTGTCTGCCTTTATTACAATTCAAGTAATCCTGAATTGTGTTCATCTTTTGTTCAAACTTATCCTGGTTTAATGGTAAGACATAAATAAAACATCAGACATAAGACATCACCTTTGTATACAATTCCCAGACAAGAACTACACATTATAGTGAATTGTGGTCAGCGATCAAATAAAATTCAAAGAAAACTGACCTAAATCTAAATTATGTTTGAATGAAACTGACTAAATAAATGTCCAAATAAAGCTACCTTTATTCCACGATCAAGTCGTCTCTGCTTGGAACTGTCCCCGGTGGTTTTAGCAGCAGCAGATGCTTGTTTATACATAGACAATCTCTCTTCCAATAATCCCGCCATACCTCCTGCCCCTCCCACATTGCCCGCTGGCCTAAGAGCTGGTGTGGGGAGAGGCCTTGGTGCTGGGGTTGGCGCTGCTTGAGGAGGCAGTTGTCGAGGCACAGTGGCTGGGTTAATGGTAGGCATCATGGGTTTGGCAGCAGGATGAGGAAAGGACAGTTGTTGAGGTGGTGGAGCGGCAGCCTGTGTGGTTGCCTTATAAGGGGCACCGTTGGGACTTGGACCGGGCTCATTGTCATCATCATCATCTTCAAGCCCTTCTAGTTCTGCCTTGAGAATGATTACAAATGAAAACAGTTCAGTGGCATTATCATTACACTAAAACTGCAAACAAAACGCCATAACATATCTGAATATACGAGAGTGAAAAAGATTTTGTTTCAGAATAAGCTAATTAAAAGACCCATTCTTGACATTAGAGATAGATATAAAGAAGATAAAAGTTGTGTTGTAATCTTACTGGATCATAATTCTTAGTAAGAATTGATTATTTTAAAATTACAACAGACTAAAGCACGGCTTGACAACAGAATGAGAATATTTGGTCTAAGTGTTCTTATCAGCTTTATATATTGTGGTATATACAGGTAGTCGAATCCTTCTCAAGAAAAGAACGTCATGGACAAAAGAAGCCATTGGATAGCTCATGTCATGGACAAAATAAGCCATTGGACAGCTAAAGTCAAGGACAAAAGAAGCCATTGGATAGCTAAAGTCATGGCCACAAGAAGCCATTGGATAGCTCATGTCATGGACAAAATAAGCCATTGGACAGCTAAAGTCAAAGACAAAAGAAGCCATTGGATAGCTACAACATTACTAACAGTGACTATAAAATGTTAAAAGCCAAATTTTGATTAAAAAATATTTTAGATATTTTCAAAGCTTACCAGTAGGTCTGGGTCCTCTGTGTCTGAAACATCATCATGTTCCTCTATGTCAGCTTTTGCTAATTTCTCCAAGTCCACCATAGAAATGGGAGCTTTCGAAAATATAATCTTTGTAAAAATTCACTGAATAATTTCTGTCTCATACTAACATTTTTTTATAAATTATCATATTATTATGCAAATAAAAAATATCAAACTGAAAAATAAGAAAGATAATTATTTTTCAACCTTGTTTCTTGGCCTTTGATTTCTTTGCAGGTGTGTATTCTTCTCCTGCCAGTTCAGCAAGCTCTGCCTCCAAATCATCATCATCATCGTCTCCATTGTGTGCCCCACCAATACCACCTATTCCAGGAATAGCACCTAATCCCATCTGATTCAGAGTTAAAAAAAAGAAAAATGCCTGGTAATGTCAATGTTAAAATATTTTTCTGAAGTTTGGCAAACACAGAGCATCATAAAAGTAAAAAGTCAGACAAATTTTACCCATAAAAAGGTATTGACAATGCTTAAATTGAAATATAAATAAAGATGAAAAAATTTAAGATAATGTATTTACAACAAAAACAGATTGCATCATTTTCTTTTTAGATAGTGTGAAGATGAGCCAAAGTGTTTGTGAAAGGGATAGCAGAGTAGTATAAGTAAAAAGTATTCAAACAACCCCTAAAAACAAATTTTTCCTCATTAATCCTTTATAAAATGTCATATTTAGCAATGGAAGGTGGGGCTGAAAATTTGACAAAACATGCATGCAAGTAACGCACTTTATAAAAATCCCAGTAAGTGCTCCCCACCCGAAGGCTCGCAACCGCTCATTTTTTTCATGCCACTAAAGTATATTAATATTCTAATGACCCACCTGCTAATACACCGTATATTTATTTCCCCCAACTATTTCAGAAAAACAAAAGAAATATTACACACCAGGAACGCACATGCAATATTTAAAAAAAAAAGAATTTCATTTCGGGCAGTTATCTGGAATTTTATTTTGTGAAATCAGTGGCATCATATTCCCTTCATCTTCCCTTTGAAAAACAGGAAAGACTGATTTTTGGAGGTTGGGATTGGGGGTTGGGACTGAAAATTTAAAAGAATGTGTTGTCATTGGCAATGAGTCTTTGGGTCAAGTTTTAGCTCGATAGGTTGACAGGAAATGATTCTGCCAGCCACGAACAAAAGAAAAGTTAACATGAAGGAATTGAAAAGTAAACTTTTGCTGAGTTTTCATTAAGATTATATTGTTTTAAATTATCTTCTTAGGTGCACTGCTTAAATTCTTTCTATACAGTAGGCACTTTGATTAAAATTTCAAAACATTTTTAGAAATATAAAAACACTACAGCTGTATAGAGCCTGGAGAATAGATTACAAAAACACCAAGATCAACTTTCTAGCTCAAGTGGTTCAAAAGTTATGAAATTTTTAGTAGGGACCTCAAAGGCACTTTTTTACTATGGGATTTTCCTCCACATTTCGTGACCCTCATTTTGATTTTTTTTTAAGGCCTATAACTTTATTATAAAATGACACAAAAATATAATATTTACAGGGAACATATTTTAATTAGAGTACTTCTAAATAAAACCACAAAATATAAGTTAGTTTTTGTTAATATTCCGCAAAAATTATTTTAAAAATCTTTATTATTTTCCTATTAAAAATATATAAAATATGCTGACTCGTCACTTATTCGTAATTAATTAATTAATTATGTATAAATATTTTTTTTCAATTTCCCAAAATTCATAATAATAATAAAATATTCTTAAGATATTAATTTCAAATTTTCTGTGGAATTGTTTAAAATTTATAAGTATATACTAATAATAAAGGGATTATTTGTTTCAATAAGTTAAAATTGACAATTAAACTTTTTATTTTACCATTTTCTATATAATGTATTTTAGTCCCATACCATATGAATGTGTGAATATGACAAAAAATAGTATGTCATTTATTTTAAGTTAGTACAGTTGTTTCACAGATCAACATTTATTATTAGAATCAACTTTAGCTGTTGATAGAATTTTAAATAAGTTCTAGTTATTTGCTTGAGGTAATTACAATGTTTTATTATTAAATTTTAGTAATATCTCATGTAATTCTTGGATTTTTGTGGTAGAAAGTGTGTTTTTTTCTTTCAGAATACTGAGGATTATATAATAATTCTCTTTTGGAATAGTGTGATATGTGATTAAATGAATAATGGGTCCTACAAATAACTATGGGGGGGTGGGGGGAGGTGGATAGGCCTACACTTATAATAGTAATACTATTCTAGGCCTCTATATATACATACACACATATGTATAATTATATATGTATATATATTATATGTATATATATAGTTAATAGTATACATATAACAACAGTATATAAAACTAATAGTTAACTATTAATTGTAATTAATTAGGCTTTTTTAACCTAATATCCCTCAATAAAAGCATCAAATCATATTAAAAATATGTGTTTGTTTTATTAATTATTTTATTTTTATTTCTAAATAAGTTATTAGGGGGTAATAGTCTGGATTTCCAGAGTAAATCAGGTTATTTACCATAGCAACGAATATTAACGATAATAGGTAATTTTGGGACACACGTGACTAAAATTTCCCATGAAATTTCTGACCAAACTGATGGTCCTAAATTAACAGGTCTTGGATATGTTGTAGTTAATGCCATTATTTATAAAGTCCTTGAAATTCTATGAAAGGTTCTTTTCCACAAAAAAAATATGAATGAGTAAAAATTGCGTTATTTTACCTTCAATTTTCAAAGTGAAGCCCCAAAATTTTTTGGGGGACTCAAGTGTCTAATCATAACACAACATGTCTACTATAAGTTGTGGGCGGAAATAGAATTAACATGCTGGGCTATATATAGTTAAAAAGTCGTAAACAACGTGACTCTCGGTAAATTAAAAAGTGGAGGTCGCCATTTTGACAACGAAATCACGATACCCGGTTTTCGGCACTTCCCGGATCTTACCGAAATACCTATATACAGTAATTAAGTAAAATGGTGGACGGGCTCCATAATAAACCTATTCATAGAAAGTTAGAATAAAGTTGCAGTGCTGAACAATAGTAATAAGAACAATGTATATAGTAAATAGGTTTAAAGTGTTGTTTTGTAATAAATTGGTGATCACTATACCTATAACTTTAATGATCTTAAAATAAAAAAATTTCTCGAATAAAAATAATTCTTTGATATTTAAACTAAATGCCTATCATAGCCTTGCAAATTTTTTTTTTTGGGGTGGGGGGGGTGTAAAAGGGCACACACCAAGGATGCCAACATCAAGGGGCACCAAAACCCCTTTAGATAGGAAGTTAATAGTGAATTTAACTATTAAATCCCATGTACTTCACAAAGACAAGGGGCGAAAAAATCGTCTTTTTATTTGGCCGCCCAAGGTGGCATTTTTCTATATATTGAGGGGCAGCATTTATGACCCAGTGAAACAAATAGAAAGGATTTTAGGAATATAAACTCTTAGCATAATTGTATTTTGCCATTCAATAGTAGTATACTACTATTTAGCATTATCAGACATTAAAACTTTGAACAAATTGACTTAATTCTATATATTCTACTCAGAAACAGTTGAATAGAAATATGGGGAGAATAAATAAAGGAGGTAAGTGGAAAAGAGCAGGCCTTCACTTTTAAGAATAGTGCCAGAAAGATGGCATTAGTGAAATATTTTATTTTGAAGGCGTAGAGATGAAGGTAAATAACTTTTCAATGTAGGCCTATGTGACAGCTGGTCAAATATACATTAAACAACACAAAAAAATATATTATGCCTTTATTATATTTGATTTAATAATGAAACTTCGTTGGGGGGGGGGGGTGGTAGCTTTCAGTCTTTTTAGTGGGCTCCACTTTTCCATGACCAGGCCCTGTATCTTATATAGCTTACAATAGTGGGCCTGACCTATGCCTAAACTCCTCAACCTATTAAACAACACAAAAAAATATATTATGCCGTTATTATATTTGATTTAATAATGAAACTTCGGTGGGGGGGGGGGGTGGTAGCTTTCAGTCTTTTTAGTGGGCTCCACTTTTCCATGACACGGCCCTGTATCATATATAGCATACAATAGTGGGCCTGACCTATGCCTAAACTCCTCAACCATAATAGGGGCCCAATTTTAAATATTTTTTATAAATAATGGTCCATTATATTGAGGGCTTTGTTAAATAGTCCCATGGGTTAAACATTTCTATATAAATGACATTAAGCCTAATGGAGGCCCCTTTGTAAAACAACAATGTACACAAGAAATTACCACAAAACTTGAAAACTAGTAGACCTAAGAAAAAGAATTATCTAATATAGTTAATAAAGGCCCATATTATACAATTTAACAGTTACAGTGAAAAATTTATTTTCAGATAATTACAATTTTGGCTTTGCTTAAAATAAAGATAATAAATAACTTTGCAAGGCGTAGTTTAATAATACTTTTAATTTTGGGAGCATAATAATCAACTTATTTTTTTTTCTTTTTGTGTGGGCCAATCAATGTTGTCAATGTGTTTTAACATTTACACTTTTCTCACTTCTCAGAAATTTAAATGTAACCAGACCATCCATCCATGAAAAATATTTTGATGTCTTTTGCCTTGTTTTGGTTAAAAATAAAATGAATGTGATTCTGAGTCACTAATACCGTTAGTATTAGACAATTAACATTAGGAGTAGGAGTAAGTCTCAGTCAGACCTAGTCCAAACGTTCAAATCAAATTCATGATCATGAGTAATGGGCCAGTAGGCCTAAACTGACTATAGGGACCATCCACGAATGACATCACGCAAATTTGGCCAATTTTCGACCACTCCCCCCAATCGTCACAAAGCATCACAAAAAGTTACATCCCAAACCTCAAATATAATGTCACAAACCTCTGCAACCCCCTTATAAAAATCCCTCTGTCCATTACCATTCTATATAAATCCTTAAAAATTTCACCTCCAATGGATATCAAATTACTGCCCGTGTGTCAAAAATATTTCCCTAGAACCGTGGTTCTTAAACAGGGCTCATAGTACCCACTGAGGTGCCGAAGACCCAGAAAATTGTATTTGCTACCATTACTAGTTGTTGCTGTGTTAAAAAAAATCAGTTTTTATGCATTTTGATTAGCAGCAGTAAATATTTTTTCTGGTGAATTTTGTTTGCACATTATTTGTAATTGTATTGGTAATATTTTTCTTGTTTCTTGAAAGTTAGTTAGAAAAATTAATAATGTGACAATAACTAAATAGTGAATAATTATCATTCTAAAAATTTTAGTACAATATAGAAAGTTAGTTAGATAATGTCAATGTCAATGTCAATACATCCCGATTTTCCTCTGTGGCGGCATGTAACTTGATCAGAGGCCATTTTTCAGACCTCACACTCACATATCTGTAATGATTCTCTCAGTATCAGGGATTGTGGTTTCAAAATAAAATAATTATAATTGTGGTATAAAAGAATAAACTTAAAAAATTTCTGTATATTAAGTGTTATTGTAATTAAATTACATTGTAATTACATGCAATTTTTTACAGTTACAGTAATGTTCCATTTTTAAAGTCATGTCACATTGCTATCATTGCTTAAACACATCCCTCTCCCCTTGTCACACATTGATGTCGACACAAAAAAATAAGGGGAGTGAATCCAAAAACAAACACTAAAAAGTCGTCACGGGCCGCTAAATCTGAATCAGCTAGAATCTCAATTAATAACTTAAATTATAGAATAATAAACTACAAACTAAAGTCTAAAGATATTATTATTATTTTAAAAAGAAAGGAAAAAGGAAAGGGTCAGGGAACTATAGACTATATGACTATTATGATTAAGTAGTATGATTGAATATCATATAATAATATAATATAGTTAATATATTTACGAATCATGTACTATGACTCAATGACTCGTGTATTTATTTATATATTTAATTACCTAGACTTGGTAGGCTAGGCCTAGGCTATACTAAACTATACTATTCATTAAATTTTAAAAATTTAAGTAGTGTCAAAATAACAAACCTGATTCATTAATTCAGTTCCTTTGCGCTTTCCTGGTTCCCTTCCAACATCTTTTGACTTTTTCTTTCCAAACATTTTTTTTTTAGAAATTAATTATCATATCCGATATTAACTTGATTATTTTCTTTTCAATTTTGAGAATTCTTGTTTATATAGTGCATAACTTATCTCCCTAGACCGAAGAGAACAGTAGAAAGTAAAGTAAACATTTTATTAGGCTGCTGCATTTCCGCTTAGCAGTACGCAGTAAACGAGATTCAAAGTAAACAGGCCGGTGTGTGTCTACGGTAAACGTATTGCCTCTGGTAGTTATACTTTAGTCCTTTCATAAAAATGTCGCTAATTATGCCTCAAATTAAGAATAAGCAAAGACGAGGAGAAGTTTACAAGCAGTATTTAAAAGAAAAAAGAAAGGTAAGACTATTAAAGTAGCAATAAAAGTTATAACTTTTACGCCATTTTTCGATTTTTGGGGTTAATTTTAAAATTAATAATTACTAATTACTAATATTAATATTATGTTTAATAATTAGATTTTTCTTGGTTAGGTAAATGCTAGGCAAATGCAGACGATTGGTGCCATGAGAGTCTAATATTAATAATATTACTAAATTACTGCAAAACAGTGCCGTACAAAAAGTAAAGTACAGTTACACTGCAACTACAGTACTTTGTACACTCTAAAATTATTGGTTATCTCCCACTGTTGCGGAAAATGGATTATCATTATGAAAAAACTGATTGTTGGGGTTGAGGAACTGATTGTTGGGGTTGAGGGGCTGTGTACAAAAAGAGAACATAAACACAGGAAATGAGTGGTGCAGATATTTAATCTTATCAATCAATATCAATAAAATATTATTAGTAACAGTTTAACTAGCTTTTCAATTTTCACACCGGAGCAACATGATTTTTTTTTTATAACCGACGCTCAAGTGATAGATTACCTAATTTTTAGTGAGCTATAACTATCACATTAAAAAAATTAAACTTAAATAATTAAAATTAAATGTATGAAAAGTCAGGTAAATGTTTGGTGCGCCAATGATTTCCCACTGCTGCCATCTTGGTTGCCAAGACGGCACCCGTTACGGCAACCAAGATGGCGGCAGTGTAAAAAATCACATGTCTGCTAAAATGGGGAGGGGAAAGAGAGAAGAGAATGTGCTGTGATTATCTTCATTACCTCACTTGTTGTTTTCATCAGTGTCAGATTCAAGATTCACTGCTAGAGTATCAGAATCAGTTAGGATAGTATGATCAGTGTCACTGTCAGACATTTTGGAATTTTACGATATTACTTGCAGCACAAAAAAATTCCTGAACAAAAGTAAAGCTAGTAAACAATCAACGGATACTGCCAATAAAATCCCAGGATGTGCAGGACATCTGGTACATTGACCAGCCAGCCAATCTCGAGACTTGAATTATCAGGCTTTTGGGTCGACTATTCATCATTTTCAACATTCAACCATGGGCTGATTGTTCGGCCCAGCCTTCACAAGGGGGTTAAATTAAAAATGTTTTTTCCCTATTTTTGCTTCTCTCTGTAAGTAGTTAAAACAGCACATTCTGTCTCTTTCCCCTCCCCAATTTATCAGACACATGTTTGCACTTATGTTTTTTTTTGTTTTTACACTGCTGCCATCTTGTTTGCCATGACAATGTTATCATAGAAATGGGAAATGAGTGTGCCAAATCAACATTTTCTGAATTTTCAAACTACAAATTCGTTTTTCCTTTTGGTAAAGTTATTCTATCTGCGCCACTCATTTTATTATTATTAGTTGGGATTTTATATAGCGCAGTACCCCAGACTAGGGCTGGGCTCACCACGCTGTACATACAATTTAACAAACATAATCATGAACTTAAAAATTAACATATATTAATTAAATGAAGCAAAACAAATTTAAATCCACTCCACACATTCAAGAACTATTTACATGTCAAGCCATGGACGGCTACCCAGCAGAATCGTTTATAGGTCAGGGGAGGGAATCAGTCAGGATAGTAGAATTCCATTGTTTGGGGGCACAGAAAGAGAACGATAGTTCACCGTATGTTTTTGTGTGATTATTTATATTCTCTTTTTGTACTCAGCTGCCATCTTTGCTGCCTTGCCATTTTATTAAATTCGAAAAGAGGGTTTCACTTGAATTTTCTATATATTTTTGTTCTGAAGAGTTTTCTTTCAGGTATGCGACAAGCAGGGTCAACAACCTAGAGTTGCCCCCTTTCTTCAAAATGATTTTACACCATTTTTTTGTTGTCTTTGGTCTGACCTGTACATGTTAAGTTAATGTTATGGTCTTATTATAACTGGTAACTTTTTTTCTAAATTCCGGCACACATTAATATATTTTAAGTGTGCATAGGGCTCAAGTCTCGCATGGGAATGTTGTTCTGTAACATTTTTGTTTAGCTCTGAAATATACTTTATCATTTATGAGATTAAGTAAGTGGGTTTGGGGTCTCCAAGCCTAAATTTGTGCAGGTCTATTCACTGAGTGATCCATAGTATATGCATTATTACATTTAATTATCCAACACAGGCAGTGGATATTAACTTAGGAAGAAGTATGAATGAATTACTTTGAAATCTCTTTGATAATCTTGCTGTTAAAACAATTTTTGGTTTAGATTGTCTATTCTTGCAATACTAATACATATTACTCATATTGTTGTACTAGATGAATGAGACTACATTTTTCAATTACAAGTTTAAGTACGATTCCTCATCCTCTAGACATCTTGAGACATTTTCATGTATGATGTGGGTAGAAATCAATGTATTAAGTCATGAGTGTGGAACCCTTTTTGAGTAAAGCACCATTTTGTAAATTATTATTGGTAAATTGCGTGGAACCTGTGAATAGAAAAACCATAGAATGTCAGTCTCCCTAGCTGATAGGCTAACTCACCCTGTCCACAATTTTTTCCCTTGACGGTTGTATGGAGTCCCTTGACAGGACTATGGTTGATAAGTTGGGTAATTACATTTTTGTTCTGTCTCAAATTTGTGGAACTGACAATGATTGAGACCATGGGAGCAAATAAAATGTTCACTGTTTTAAATCACATGTTCCACGATGCAAGATAAATCCAGATATCTTCCGCATGTTGCCTAGTGATGAATAATGCTAATGTGATCCAACTAAATCTTTCCTTTTACTGCTCATGTTTTTACATTTGACTCACTTCAGTTTAGTCTATTTCAAATTGTGCTGAGCAATGGATTTATTAACCTCCATGTCAATGTCCTCCCCCGTTGTTGTTTCATGCACAAAATTGACAATGCACAGACGCTAATTATTCAAGCAATTGAAATCAACATGACTCTGCGTTCCGGATGGGGCCAGCGGGCAGTAGTCTGTCACCCCTACACTATATCATTAACTCAAGGCACCATATGCCAATTATGTTTTTTAGCAGTTCTTAAGCAAATAAGAAATTAATGTATCCTTTATTTCAGATTATAATTTCTGATTTCACTGTTAAAAGTATGTTCAAATACCCTTAAGTAGTTTTCATCATACAAAATCCATGTATAAGCTGAAAGTGAAATGGTGCAATTTTTAAAAAATGATGCCTTGTTTGTTTCATTAACATTGTCCAAACTTAGAATTATTTTTATATAATAGCACCTCTGCTACTTTTTGATGTTCAATCAAAATTGTTTTTTTTTTTAAATAGTTCAAGTTTTGCTGTGGTCTTGTTGGATATATTAACTTTTACTCTTGCAATCATTTTTTCAGATGCCTGTTAAATACTACACAAAAGTATATTTTGTTGTGAGCTGTTATTTGCTACAAATACTACAATGTTCATTGATCAAATTTTCATTAAATTTTTCTAGGCGAAACTAGAAGAGAAAAAGAAGAGAAGAAAAGAAGAAAAAGAAATGGGTGCCAAGGTATAAAGAGATTTTTAAAAAAAAATTAGATTCTTTTAATGATCCATAAATTTGATAAAGCATGATCAGTTTAAATCAGTTAAGATAAGATTATTTTTTGATAAAAAATAATGGAAATGTTTTTTTTTAAAATTACATATCCATACTCATTTTCAGCACATAAATCAATACATATTTTTAACCAGGAAATTTTACAATTGTAAAAATTTAAAAACACAAGGCATCTAAAGCATTTCTCTAATGCAGAAATGAGTCATAAATGAACTTAGTGGCCACACTGACTTATAAAGTCTCTGTTATTCCCAAACTGACTTACACAGTAACTGTTATGGCCATACCGACTTAGACAGTCTCTGTTATGCTCATACTGACTTACAGTCAGTTACAGCCTCTGTTTTGACCATACTAACTTAAGTGGTACGACAAGGAAGCATTTCTGTAGATGTCTGGCAGTTCTGTCAGACTGAGGAACAATCGAATCTCTAAATATTTCATTCCTTAATTTGTAAACTTTTATATGTTTTGAAACCATGACGTGGGTGAACAATGATTGCATGGTTGACAGAAGCATAAGCTGATTAACTAAGTAAAACAAAATGAAATATTTGATGAGTGGATTTCTTTTCAAAATTAAATATTTGCTTAAATTTGATAAATACATTTTAGAAATAGAAAGTCCTTTGAAAAAAAAACAACTGATCAAGTTTGCTGTTATTTAAGTTTAATTTGGTTTTGTTAATTTGTCCACTTTATATAAATGAAATAACCATATACATTTGTTAAGGCACCCCCTAAAAAGAAACCAAAGACTATTGAAAGTATGAGAGTGCCAGATGAAACAATGGTTGATCCCACTAATCTTGAGGTGAGCATATATATGTTTGTTGTCTATACTCTCAGTTGTTATAAAGAAACCTATGGGAGCTGGTTGGTCTCTTAAAATCAGAAATCAAACCACTTAATGGGGAAGTTTTGTATTTTTAAGGATCCTGAAGAATACTTTCTTACATACATATGACTTTTACCCTGCCTGGGTCATAGGCAGACTACAAGAATTTTCCATTCATTTCGATCCTGGGCTTTTATTTCTGGTTGCTTCCATGTGTATCCCATATTGTTTGTCTGCCTCTAGCTCATGTCTTAATATATTACTAGGCCTTCCTCTCTTTCTTTTTCCCCGTGGATTCAATGTTAAGGATTGTCTGGGGATCTTGAGATACATGCACATATTAAATTTTTTAACATATAACTTTTAACCGTATTTTTGTTTTCTTTTTTTTCAGACACAGTTAGACCTAGAACAAGATGAAATGGCCCCTTACTTTCGCCAGGAAACAACACCTAAAGTTCTCATCACAACATCAGACAGGCCCAAAAAAGTAACAAGTATATTATGATAAATGGGTTCATTTCATTAGACCAAAATAGAAGGGTTATTTTCTTTTCTTCTGGGTTCACAATGCATGTCACAATGCATGTAAACGTTCTCCATTCATCATTTGAACAATCATATTGAGGACTTAATGACATCAATGAGTGTAGAAAGACACAAACAGGTTAAGTGATAACACTTCCATTTTATAACCTTTTCACCTAGAGATAGAAATAAATTATACAGAAATATTAATTTGAGAGATTGTTTTATTTTTAAATGTTCTAGATTTATTTAAAGTGTGTTGATCAATCCTTACTTTATTTTCTTAGAAGACAAACAGCTTTTGCAAGGAGCTGAAAAAGGTCATTCCAAATTCATTCGTGAAGTACCGAAGGGGGTTGGATTTAAAAAAAATCATACCCCAGGCCATTGAAAGGGATTTTACAGATCTTATTGTGATAAATGAGGATGCCGGTGAACCAAGTATCCTTTTATTTTGACAAGAACTTAAACCTGCAACACATACGAAGTGTAGACTCAAACTATCTGTCACTTGCTTACCCTGTTGGAAAACTTTTTAAAAAGTCTCTGCAAAACCTCTCAGTCCTGTCAGTAAAGGGAGAAATGGAGCCCCTTTCTACATGCAAAGGTTGTTTAACACAGTTAGGACCCATTATTGGTAAAAAAACACTTTGTAGTCATAATCCATCCTACCCCTGCTCCCAGCCACTAACTTCTGGACACCTCAAGGCTTACCATTTCAAAGAGTACTTCACAGCAATAATTTGAAATTACAGTGCCACCCATTAGTCCTACACAATGACTCACCTAAAATGTGTACCAGATTTTTACTTTGTCCTTACCATTATTGCATAGATGGTTAAATTGCCTTTCATTGATGCGGATTATGATTGGCTCATAGAATTGAGAGTACATGGTGTAAACTGTACATTGGCTCATAGAAGTGAGAGTATATGGTGTAAACTGTACATTGGCTCATTGAAGGGATAGTATATGGTGTAAACTGTACATTGGCTCATATAAGTAAAAATATATAGTGTAAACGGTGCATGTTTTTAAACAAGATGAACTGACTACAGCAGGTATTGCAACATTGGTCAGTTGAGGACACTCTGGTTAAAACCTTAACAGCTGAAAGATGGTTTGGTCCTTTGTCATCTTCCTGATGGTCCTACTGCTGAGTTCAAGATGATGAATGCCAAACTGTGCAAGGAACTCAAGGTGGTTTAAAAGATTAAAACTATAAATACCAGTTAGCTGTGTAAATAATATTTAGTGTATTTGTTGATTACATAATTTGTTATTTTTTACTACTTTCCATTGTGTACTTTAAAGTTTATTAATAAAATGTCAGTGTGAACAGTAGTCCCAATGTTCTCTATCAAATTCATTATGTTGCAGCGGCTTGGAGAGATGACTGAACACTTCCCAGAGGTCAACATTCACAACTTCAATACTCGTCTAGGTGTGACCATTGGTAGAATGTTGAGTTGTTTGTTTCCGCACAGACCAAATTATCAGGGCAGACGTGTGGTGACCTTTCACAATCAGAGAGATTATATCTTTTTTAGACATCACAGGTAACACCACCTCATTATTATATCTTTTTTAGACATCACAGGTAACACCACCTCATCAATATTTTTTTTTTTTGGACTTCACAGGGGATAATTTTTCATTAAATTAGAAGTGGGGTCTTCGTTAAAGCTTTAACAGTATCTGTTATCAGTAGTCATTTCCTCTAGTTAAGAAAGGTGAATATTTGTCAATAGGGTTTGTCGTTTACAAGAATAGAAAACATCACATCGCTTTACGTAATGTTACTATTTTTTACACTGTTTTTGTAAATTGTAGCTTCTAACAATGTATTTCCACATATATATAGTGTTAATAATTCGTTTGTAAAATCTTTCGTAAAATAAAGTTGTAAACACGTTTTCGTCTAGGTTAGGACCCACTATGCTGGCTCACATTAACGTTAGAGGTACCGAAAAGCTGTTTAGAGATTGGCCAAATTGAATACCAGGATGTTAATATCATAATGAGATTGGCCAGACTGTATGCCTGGATGTTCTTTTAATAGATTAACCCTATTGATTAACATAGCTATCCGAATTTTTCCATGTGATCTGGTTGTTCTATGCCATTGTGAACTATTTGTTTACCCCCATTCAAAGCCAATAATCCAAAATTAATGATAACATAAATTGATTACAAAGGATGAAGTCATAGACACATCTCTGTCTACCTACTGTAAGAATGTAAGTCCTTAGAAGCACTAATTCCATAAATTATGACCTTATTTGTCAGATACCAGTTCAGAAACACAGAGAAAGTAAGTTTACAAGAACTAGGTCCCAGGTTCCTCCTGCGTCTGAGATCACTTCAGAAAGGAACATTTGATTCCAAGTCTGGGATGTACCTGTGGATCCACAAGGTGAAGTAACTGTCTGTCGTGGGCTTGGTGCACTTTGTCTTATCAATCTTTAGAATCAGACAAAAGCCAGTAATGATACAATTCAATATTTATTAATTGAAAAAATAATGTCTGGTACCGTACCAGTGTTATCCGACAGATACCAGTCATCAAACAATGCTTGTTGATTAAAAAAATAATGTTTGGTACCTGTATTAAGACTATATACAATAAGTGAACACATGTTAACAATTATCTTTAAATGTAAGTGCGTACAGTATGTGTGGTGCATCAATTATAAAGCTAGTTGTTTTGTTGCAGTTCCTGGCATGGTATTTACTTAGTTCCTTATGCCTTAGTTACGTAACTATGTTTTGACTAACAAGTTTATCATTGATAAATTCTTGCACTTTCAGCGCCATGAAATGGACACGAGCAGAAGAAAGTTTCATCTCTAATTTTTTATGTGGAATCAACTTAGACAATAAACATTATATTCAATCAGTGTGAACACAGGTCAATTGTTTGTTCTTTTATATTCTAGGACAGTGGTTCTCAACCTGTGGGTCGGGACCCTTTTGTGGGGGGGGGGGTCGAACAACCCTTACTCGGGGGTCATCTATGACCATTGGAAGACACATATTTATGAAGTAGCACCCAAAATGATTTTATTATTGGGGGTCATAAACAACATGAGGAACTGTATTAAAGGGTGGCATCATCAGGGAGGTTGAGAAGCACTGTTCTAGGAGAACCATGGGATGTAAAGCAATTCAACAATGTTATAATCCTTGCACTGGAACTTTTCAAACAGAAATCAAATGGATGAGTGCACCATATATACTTGCATCAGTAAATAGGTCACTGCAGTGGATAGGTCACTGCAGTGGATAGGTCACAGCAGTGGATAGGTCACAGCAGTGGATAGGTCACAGAATTTCTAGATATAATTACACCATAGGCACATTTGTGACAACCCAGTGGTGGACTTGATGTTAGGAAATGGGGATGACATGCCTGCATTAGACGCCAGTTAGGTTACTAGAGCCATGACAACACAGGGTGTAGTGGCTGAGGGGTTACCTGGTGATTTGTTTGGTTGTAAAGACCATGATGTATTGGACCCCACCTGTTTCTTGAAAGACCAAAATAAATGATCCAACATCAGCTAAATTTTGGGACAAAGTTGAGGCAGGTGAACTACATGAAAAAAAGTGGGAGAACTTCTTTTTTAGTTTTAAAATGTCTCCTCTAAAAATATGAGGAAAAAAAACATGACATATAGAAGTAGAATAATTTATGAAACTGATACTCTGTATCTAAGAATAGGAGGGACTTCATTCTCTGGAAAGGACACTCTGGAGTATGGGCAGGGCACATGTACATACATCATTTGACCTCTAGAGCTCTCTGCCAGTATACTTCCATATATATGGACAGTTAAAGCTCTCTGTCAGACTTTCTCCATATAGGGACAATTAGAACTCTGTCAGTCTTCTTCCATAGGGACAGTTAGAACTCAGTAATCTTCCATAAGTTTTAATTTTTAAACGTGGGGGGGGGGGGGGCATTATGGCGCCCATTGCCATACATGAACCGAATTCACTTCAGTTAGGGCGCGCCCCAGGGTAATCATTTTGCCTACCCTTGGATTCACCCCCATTTTCCAAAAGTTTTAATTTTTAAAGGGGGGGGGGGGGGGCATTATGGCGCCCATTGCCATACATGAACCGAATTCACTTCAGTTAGGGCGCGCCCCAGGGTAATCATTTTGCCTACCCTTAGATTCAACCCCATACAATCGCACTGACCAGCGTCAGGGAAGAGAAGCGCAGTAGTTTAGTGTGCCGAAGACTCTGGGCATATTCAAAATGCATTGACACATACTTGAATTCGGTGTTTCTTTCAGAAGTGTTTCAATTTTAAGGGGCAATTTAACACATCGTCTGGAAAGCTTCATAACTCGACATACTAATGGTCAAGAACCACTCCACCCGAGCCCAGTATGAACTCAATTCATTCAAGTTGTGGTGGCTTTGAGGGTATTCGTTTTTCCTAGGTTATTCTTGTCCATTAAATCTTTATAGAACCCAGAAATTTTATGCAAAATGCAATTTTGGTCAGACCCGAATTTAGTTTTGTAACATTCTACACTTAATTGGAGAGAAACGGAAGAGATGCTCTACCGGTAGTTAAAAATGAAGGGTCATTTAACCTCAGAGCCATCATGTTGGCCCCGCAACTCTTACGGCTGCAAGGGACCACGGATATTATTGAGCTTTTTAAATTATTAACTTTAAATGCAAAGTGGGGGAAGACATAACCGAAAAGTGGCAGGAGCCTCGAATGTGTTATACACTTTTTAAAAGTTATATTCCTGAATAATAATGTTGCTTTGAATTTTTATTTGGTCTGTTTTTGGGGGTACGCTTCTTAAATAATCAATGAATTTTCAACAAAAAATATTTTTAAAACAAACATTCCTTCCAAAAAAGGTTTCCTTCACAAAAAAAAGGTTTCTTTCACAAAAAAGGTTTCCTTCACAAAAATGTTTCCTTCACAAAAAAGGTTTCCTTCACAAAAAAAGGTTTCCTTCACAAAAAAAAGGTTTCTTTCACAAAAAAAAGGTTTCTTTCACAAAAAAAAGGTTTCTTTCACAAAAAAAGGTTTCCTTCACAAAAAAAAGGTTTCTTTCACAAAAAAAGGTTTCCTTCACAAAAATGTTTCCTTCACAAAAAAGGTTTCCTTCACAAAAATGTTTCCTTCACAAAAAAGGTTTCCTTCACAAAAATGTTTCCTTCACAAAAAAGGTTTCCTTCACAAAAAGGTTTCCTTCACAAAAAGGTTTCCTTCACAAAAATGTTTCCTTCACAAAAAAGGTTTCCTTCACAAAAAGGTTTCCTTCACAAAAAGGTTTCCTTCACAAAAATGTTTCCTTCACAAAAAAGGTTTCCTTCACAAAAAAAGGTTTCTTTCACAAAAAAGGTTTCCTTCACAAAAAAGGTTTCCTTCACAAAAAAAGGTTTCCTTCACAAAAAGCACTGACCGAGACTGTTATCATCATTTACATGGTGAATGCATGTCAATACATTAAGCCCCCCCCTCCCCCCCAAAAAAAAAACAAAAAAAAAAAACAACTGACTTTACCTTTTGTGAATAGGGAATTATAAAGTTGTATCAGCTAAAGAGAAAAAANGGTTTCCTTCACAAAAAAAGGTTTCTTTCACAAAAAAGGTTTCCTTCACAAAAAAGGTTTCCTTCAAAAAAAAAGGTTTCCTTCACAAAAAGCACTGAACGAGACTGTTATCATCATTTACATGGTGAATGCATGTCAATACATTAAGCCCCCCCCCCCCCCCCAAAAAAAAAAACAAAAAAAAAAAACAACTGACTTTACCTTTTGTGAATAGGGAATTATAAAGTTGTATCAGCTAAAGAGAAAAAAGAACAGTTTCGTAGACAGTTGTATACATGGGTATGGGTTTTCCGAGCTGGTCATTGTTATAAATCGTATATGAACAGCATAATTAAGTTAAGAAGGCATGCAATATTTACATTGTCATTTTTTTAATCTATTAACGTGTGAATTATCTGAAGGAAATCGTATAAAAATAAAGTATAAAGTTCCCAAAAATTCAGCTGATTGTAATGATTACTTGGAATTTCAAACTACTCAAACTTCTGCAGATAAATTACAAATTTCCTCTTTGATAGTATTACACGTTTTTTAAAGAAATTATTTTTAAATTGACAATTTGAGAAAGAGGAATTATTTCTAAAATTAGTAATAAAAAATGGATTAATCCTAATATTCGAAATGCTATACCATTTGTTACATAAACGTTTATTCAGCTGTCTACTGGATGCTCATTTTAAAAAAAATATAAAGAAAACAAGTGCGTGACACCGATAGAAGTAGGGGCAGACGGTTTCCTCTGAACTAGCCGCAATGTTGTCTAGGCCATTGTTAGCACCCGCTGCAGGATGTCGTACGTAGGGGAGACGGGACGCCGACAGATGTCCTGTCTCAGTCCTCTTGATGTCCTCTCACCTACTTGTGTCCTGTCTCAATCATCTTGATGTCCTCTCACCTACTTATGTCCTGTCTCAGTCCTCTTTATGTCCTCTCACTTACTTATGTCCTGTCACAGTCATCTTGATGTCCTTTCACCTACTTATGTCCTGTCTCAGTCATCTTGATGTCCTCTCACTTACTTATGTCCTGTCTCAGTCATCTTGATATCCTCTCACTTACTTGTGTCCTTTCTCAATCATCTTGATGTCCTCTCACCTACTTATGTCCTGTCTCAGTCATCTTGATGTCCTCTCAGTCATCTTGATGTCCTCTCACCTACTTATGTCCTGTCTCAGTCATCTTGACATCCTCTTACCTACTTATGTCCTGTCTCAGTCATCTTGATGTCCTCTCACCTACTTATGTCCTGTCTCAGTCATCTTGATGTCCTCTCACTTACTTATGTCCTGTCTCAGCCATCTTGATATCCTCTCACTTACTTGTGTCCTTTCTCAACCATCTTGATGTCCTCTCACCTACTTATGTCCTGTATCAGTCATCTTGATGTCTTATCACCTACTTATGTACTGTCTCAGTCATCTTGATGTCCTCTCACCTATTTATGCCCTGTCTCAGTCATCTTGATGTCCTCTCACCTACTTATGTCCTGTCTCAGTCATCTTGATGTCCTCTTATCTACTTATGTCCTGTCTCAGTCATCTTGATGTCCTCTCACCTACTTATGTCCTGTCTCAGTCATCTTGATGTCCTCTCACTTACTTATGTCCTGTCTCAGTCATCTTGATATCCTCTCACTTACTTGTGTCCTTTCTCAATCATCTTGATGTCCTCTCACCTACTTATGTCCTGTCTCA